CCTGTCGCCGGCGCGGCAGGCAGGGGGGCAGGCAGGCGGGCAGGCAGGCGGGCAGGCGGCGGCGGCTGGCCGCTGGTGGCCCGGTAACGCGGCAACCCGCGTGACGGGTGAAGCGTTCGCTATTTGGCTATCGATCTCGTCAGAGAGACTCTAGCTCTTTAATGAATTGGACTGTAGTTTCTGTTGCTGCTGCTTCTCCCAACGTCGGAACCATTAACTTTTTATCGGCTCACTTAACACGGCCGTTAATTAGAAAGAAGTTAACCGCAGGTCGGAGTATGCCTCTCTTCTGTTTGCACCGGTAGCGTACGATCGAGGGCTTCAAGTTCGCTTCCACCGAGACATTAAATAATCATTATTTTCCGAAACTTAGATCTACAGAAAGCCGGTAGTTAAAAGTTGTTAGAGAGAAAGTACGTTTCGGTAAATAATGTTATTTTCTCAGCATCTTTTCAACAGCTAGGTACCTCGCCACTCAGAGTATCGATTATTAAACAAATATATTTACCCACCGCCACTTTATGACGAATATATCAAAAAGGCATTTCATATCTCTTGGGAGGAGTTGTGTTGATTCAGAAATTAGATAGCCGTAACGTCGATAAATTATGCATATTTTCAAACTTTGCAGTGAATATTTCCAATTCGTGCATAATTTCTCGACGTAGAAAATTTCTTCTGCGATTCTGCACGCCTCTTTAACCAGTGCTGTTCCTGCTTTCGCCCTGCGGAGTAGCTCAATTGAGGCTCTGTGCTCCTCAACTCTCGTCATTTGGAAAACGAAAGCGCTGATCGCAAACCGACGCCTCACGGGCACGCAGTCGTCCCATTGATTGATTATTTCGTTTATTCCGGGCACGTCAACTGCTAGTGTTGTTAGTCCCGTAAATGTGATGCAGGTTCTTATCACGAAATGTGTGATGTTCTTACTCCATTGCATACCTGAGATCTGGCGCCGACGCGTCGGCTTGCGGAGTTTTCCCCATCCAGATATCTCCCACTAGCAGGCTCCCGCCCGAGACGGGACAAGCTCTAAGCTCCCGACTAGCCTCCCAACATGTGTGGTAGTGTAGTAAGTGTGCTTAAGTAAGCGGCGAGGATAAAACAGGGATCGGGAAAGAAATATCGCGCGCGGTCCTTAGTCCGTTTGTTAGGGTATTGATCCGGCATACGCCCGGTGTTGATAGGAAAACTCATGGAAAATTACCGTTCGGAGATACTAGAATTGTCCCCCAAACAGCGACTGAATTCGACCTAGCTATCTAGGTAATGTCGAAATGGTGAGAATCTTATTGCATCGGAGTCAATATGGTCGTCCAGCAAAAGTAAAATTGCGATGTGTTCAAAATATATTCTGTAATAAGTGAACGAATTTTCTATTTATCCGTTTATTGTGATGAATTCAAATTCAATAGAGCAAACCTTCGGATAAAGCGAACAAACAGACACAGTATTTATGGTTTTAAAATATTAGTAAATATAATATTCAATAAGAAATTAAAATAACAATAAATAATTCAAAAAATACAATAAGTAAATAAAAACAACTAATTTTAAGTACTGTTCATTTTTAGTACCTTATTTTTTAAGACAATCAGTATGTTTTAAGTAATCAGTAACTTGTATTTTATGTATTTTTATAGAAATAACTTCTTTTGTATTTCAAGTATATTTCTATGAAATTACATAAAATACAATTTACTGATTATTTATTTTTAAAAATTCTACTAAATGTCTTAAAACTAACTGAAAATCGTGGTAGTAGTAGTAGTAGTAGTAGTGTAGCATTATAGTAGTCTTAAGAAGTCTAGAGAAACTTATGAAATTCTGGAATAAAATGTGATTTTTATACATTACGTTGGAGGTCCCATATACCAAAAAAGGTATTTTTTTTCAAACGCCTGTCTGCCTGTCCATCCGTCAGAGAACAACCTAAACTACACACAGTATTTTCACGGAAATGTATATTCCTTAATCGATCTGGACGAACCCAAGGCCCTGCGAATTTGAAACAGATCTTATAATTTTTGGGCATATTTGTCAAACCTTTCTCAACAATATTCCAACTTTTTCTTGATATTTGATGACTCGAAGAAAGAGCAGTTGCAAAAGTGATATCTTCATTATTACCTCTAAATTTTCAAAGGTTGTAAAACGTTTTTTTTGAAACCTTTGCTACACTATAATTGAAACTATAAATGTCTTTCTTAATGCAATTTATTCTTCTATGTTAGATCTTTAAATAATTTCTTATTATTAAATCTTTTAATAACCCATCGCTAGCGAGAGCGTTTGCAATCGAGTTCAATTGTGCAAAATTTGAACGCACTGGTTCTGGAAGTATAATATTACGTGACCGATACATTCAATGCGATAAAGTATTTGTTGATGTAGCACCACTAGTTTTATTTTAGTTGAATTCCTGTCTGAAGAAATTTCTCTACAAATTTAAATTTATCTCCTTTCTTGTGAAGAAAATATATGGTACAAAGAGTCGCGAGTGAAGTCATTCGTAAAGAATGTAGGTCTGCCAGATGAAGAGAAAGTTTCCCGCCATGAAAGGCAGTCAAAATGCTAAATAATGACAAACAAAAAATTGATGAACAGCTACGGCCAGTAAAATTAAACTAAATATGGAATATATTACACGAAACTTTATGGAAAAGTCTCAACTAGCTACGTGGATTGATAAAGTTTGATAAATAGTCCCCTATGCGATAATTAAATGAAATTTAGTGTTAATTTTTACTCATAATTTAAATTTACGCATTTGATTTTCTGTTGCTTGGATAAGAACTTTTGAGAGTCTAGAATGACAAAATTTTTACATTTTGCTGTGCTGAAGCATTGTCTATCATTATAAAATAAATTATGCCATAGTGCATTAAAAATTACTTTTTAATATATCATATGAATTCATTGTAGCATTTCATTGCTCCGTCTTTAACTTTAAGGATAAATGAATCAAATGAGAAGCGAAAAATTGATCACTAACACAAAAAATGCAAAATACACAAATAAATTAAATGGCTCTTCAAAAGAGATTTGCTATCTAAAAACTGTATGTACAATATGGCAATTCTTTAAATAAACTTAACAAGTTTAACAAAATTAATATCCGAGGGAATTGCATGTTATGTGTCGTTGCCAACAAAACTGTTGAGGTTCTAGGAAAATAAATTTATTCATATAGGTCACTCTAGAATGTGATTTAAATAACGTCTCAGTGAAAATGAAATTTTGATTATACAAAGTTAAAAAGATGGTAGTTATGAGTAGTCATCTTCTTACTCCCTCTTTAAACCCCTTTAAACGTAATCAAGGGTCTCTTTTCTCAGCTTCCAATACTCGCCTTTGAAGACCACGCGTTCGCGGAAATATCCTCTGCGTATGCACTTCATCACTGCAACCCGTGTAAACCTGATTTGCTCTTCCACGGAGTGACCAACTCGTATCTTTTCAAGACATCGTTGATCAACTGCCCTTTTCATGAAGTAAACTGATCATATTTCTCTGAAAATTTTCTCTATAAATTGTGGCATTTAACATCTTCGAAGTTTCATTTCTACGAACTGCATCCACCCACTGATCTTCTACCTTGCACCACACTACCCCCACACACAAGTCTGGAGACCAATCGGAAGCTTTTCCCATCATTGCTACACCACTTTCTTGTCCCGTTTGGGAAGGTACCTCTCTACGGAAGATACCTGGAGGGAATCCGAAGTGTAGATGGCGTTGGATCTCGCGTTCCAGCGGGGAGGAACACCGCCACCTCCCAGATATAACATGCATTTCACTCGCGAGACTAATGAGCGAAGTAGCTGATGCGCCCAAAAACTGTAAACACACACTTAGAATTCCGTATGTCATGGGGGTGTCTTCTGGATGCTGATAGAACCTGACTGTTGAATCTGTTTACTGCAGGAGGTGACCTGCAATGTCAATATTGAAAGCTGACGCAACCTAGTGTTTTCATTGTAATTGCTAGTAACTCTGAGAGAATACGTATACCTCGTACATCTTATTCAATCTCCCTCTAATAGAATTAATATAATTGCTCCATGAGTCTAAATAATTTCCTATTGATTTGACTCGAAAACCTAAGAATAAAAAGAAACGTCCAGAATTCTTCTAAGACGAGACGATGATCCTAGCGAGCTAGAATTTTGTTTGATTTCCCAGTCCTCGCTAAGTATAAGTATATTTAAATGTGTGATAGATTTCATTTCAACTTAAACTTTCCAGTCATTGAAATTCTCTCTATGCAAAAAATAGTTTGAAAAAGTGAGTGAATGCTTCTTGATTTATAAATACCATAAAAATTGCCCAATATTTTGAGTTAAATATTGATGTCGCAATAAAATAAGAAATTTTAAAATAATTTATTATTTAGCAGACCTTTATAATTTACTTAAACAGTACATTTGTTACATCATAATATCCTTCTCAAACAGTCACAAATCAGAAAATTTGAAAAGTTCTGTCTACAAAAGTGAGATACACCCTCTTAAGAATACATTCCATAGAATGGAAATGCGAAAAATATCCACATTAGTTGGTGTGAAGGTTAAGTGGCTTATTGGATCCGGTGACTCATGCAGAATTTTGTTTAAGGCAGTTATCATTAATAATCTCTGAGCGTCTCTAGGCGTTTGAATCCGTTGCACAGAGTACATTGTGCACTCGTTCCTGAAAACAGTTTACACTGTAAGGACACCATTGAACTTCGTTGCGCCGGACACTTCGGCCCTAGCTTCCAGATCAGCCGGCGTTCGGGGGCGCCACTCGCGGCTCCCAATGAGCGCAGGCTGCTCCCCGGCGGCCCGCGCGCGCGCGCCGGCCGTGCAAGCACGCGAGGACTGATCTCGCGCACGCGTGCCGGCAGCGCCACGCGCCAGGCCAGGCCAGGCCAGGGCGAGGCCGAGCGGGATTCGCGTGAGGCGTGGGCGCCGCGTCCGACGCTAAGTGCGGTCGGCATGCTGGCTTGCATTCCGCAGGTTGCTGATCGGGCAGTACGTGACGGCGCACGGGGACGTGATCAGCCACGTGAACGTGAGCTCGGTGCGCGTGGAGGACGGCGGCGAGTACCGCTGCGTGGCCTCCAACCGCGTGGGCTTCGCCGCCCACGCAGCCCGCCTCAACATCTACGGTAAGTGGGCCGCGACATGGATGGTGGCGACATCGTTCAAAAGGGGACGTGTCCAATTGCCAAAAATTGAGTTCTTCTGTTGTTTCTACCTAGAATTTTATTTCCAAGAGAAAAAAACATAAGATGTCTTACAATAAATTTATTTATTTACGTCAGAAACAGTAAAAAAATTTTTGTTAATTTGAAGTTACATTTATGTCCAGAAACAAAACAAGAGACCGTCTCAGCATTTGTTCAATGATCAGGGAAACTGGACGAAAACCTGATGGAGATGCGGGTCGTTGACCCAGAATTTAGTAGTACACTAATCATTGATTTAAAGACTGTGTAGATAAGTGTAAAATGTGTGCTACATTTTTCATTTTTATGCGAAAAGAGTGAAGCAGACGTGTCACGTTTTGAATGTTTGCTCCTTCTGTGGTACGACATCTACGGACCTGATAGTAACTTAGGTCGCATAGAGGTCTTCTAAATCATTAAATGATATAATACGGTTATTCGATGATTATTACATCCTTAACTTCATTAATCAAGTACTGTACTTTTTATTTAAAATTATTGTCAAATATTATTTTTAAATATTCAATCACTTTTTGATGCATACAGTCATTTTTTCTTTCATGTAATGCAAAAGTTCATCAGCATTAGTAAATTTTAAATGTTATTTTTAGAATGTATGAGTACAGTTCAGTAACCAATTTTTACATACAATCATTACAAACTATAATTTTATTTACATACGACGGTTTTCTTGCACTTTTCACGGGTTGCTTTTGCATCCTATCTTCTCGGATCTTGTCTCGTTAGTTTTCTTTGCTAGAACTTCTGTTTATTGTGTTTGTCCTGAAGACAAATTTTGTGCAATTTTAGATAGCATTTTTCGTGACAATTGTGTAAGTATTGATCTTATTATAAACCACGAACAAATACAATGCTTCCATCTCCAATTCTTGTTTCTGACTATTCCTGGAAGTATTAATATCGTTTTATCCTCCTGAAAATTCATAGTGCATATTTGGGTTGTGTCATAGAAAATGAAGCTAATTGCAAGATCTCCGTGGACGATGCGTCGTTCGGCTCTGCTTGTCAACAAGGGTCTACTTCAGAGAGTGCGGAAAAGCTTTGCGAGCCAAGAGACACCCGCGAGATAAATCAAATTTCTGAAACTTAACTGACAAACTGCAATCATATGTCGAGTAAAGAATGTTGCAGATAAAAGATTAGGGGAACATTACTGAAAACCCCAAGAGTATTCAATATTTTCAATTAAAACTGTACATGAAAAAGTAACGCTTGCATTGCAAATACTCCCATGCGACCCCTCCCGGGTTAAGATTGTGGGGTCAAGTAAAAAGAGATATGGATCTTGCCAAAATAATGACTCTGGTGTAATCCTAAATAATAGTACATATAACTTCGTATTTTTCTGTACGTATGGTACAATTTACATTTTATAATGTTTCGGAATATTCTTATTTTCAGGTCTTCCACATGTTCGCCCCATGTCAACAATAGGAGCCGTAGCTGGAAAAGACTTGATAATCAAGTGTCCTGTAGCAGGCTTTCCGATTAGCTCTATTATTTGGGAGAAAGGTAAGCTATTTTTGCAGAGTATTCCTAAAAGGTATGAAACTGTAAATACGGTTGTAATCTACATCCGATTTTAGAAAGAAGACGTCAACATTTTCTTTCGCTATCTTCTATAGTTTTCTAAGTTACTGAATGTCGCATATATCATGACGTGTGTTATACTCTATATTTACCCATTTTATCTGCAATCGCAACTGCAAAGTCTATTCATGGAACTGCAATATTTGAGGTTACGTGCGAGATCTTATCGCCCAAGTGCGGCAGCGAGGGTTTGTGGTCTCTCTACAGCGGTTCCGATTTGCCCGAAAAATACGCACACTTCCTGACTCTGTTGTAAGAAAAGAGGAAAAAGTCATCATTTTTTCTTATCCATTACAATCCCTTTTTTGAAAACTAAGAGTAATGCCAAAAATTGTTTTCATTAGCCGTCGGTAACGTTATTTAGGCTGTATTCCTATGCCAGTTACAAACCTTTTAGAACGTATATTAATACGTTTTTAAATAATAGAAGATAATAATATCTCTGTTATAAACTTAATACACGTCAAACACAAGTTTACAAGCGCGAGTCTGAATGTAAACACGGATTTACAGACTAACCTATTTCAAAATATCGCTGAATTAATTTTTACGAAGACCTTTCTTGAATGCAAACATTTTGGAATTAGCTGTGATTAATTTAAGAGTACACCAACCATAGATTCTCCTTTGTAACCTAATGAATTGTTTGTGGCAAAAACAATTTTATAGAATAATATATTTCAATCTGCACTTGTATAAATTATACGTATAACACGTATCTCTAAAATGTGTAGACTTTTCTTAAACGGAAAAATTGTGTGATATAAGTCAAATGTCTTTGTTGGTATGTCAGTTTACTTTGATTACCGGCTTTGATGGTATAGAGGTTATCATGACTTCGCGGGTTCAAACGCGGTCAAAGTCGAGGGGATTTTTGAGATACCAAAAATATCGACGGCATGCATATGAACGCTTGTGTGCATGTAAATCAGATCCCAGAAAAGACACTTGGCTGATCTTGGCAAAATTATATCTTCTAGCAATTTAACACCAATCAGAGTTTCGATTTGAAGTACTAGATAAGATTGCGGATATTGTATCTTGGCCTGAGCTATCTGGTATTCAAATCAAACGGAAAAATTGGTGTCATAAAAGCGACTCTAGGGATAGCAATGGCAAATTGACCCAGATATACTTGCTCAGGATAAGTCTAACGAGAAGATGCTTGGGGCATCTGGAGACTAGCCTACGCACTACTCAGTGTGAAGAAGAAGATAAACTACTTTCGCAAATTAATTGTAATACTGTATAACATTGTGCTCGTTTTCCACCGCCCTGAGTTCGATTGCCGATCGAGCCAAGACTGTGCGTTTTCCTCGCAATGTCCCAGCATATGTTGCTGTGTGACAGTGAAAAAATTCACTTCTCTGGTTGAGAAGATCGGAATACGGCGTGGGGATATCTACGTGCTAACCTCACGTACTCGCTGTCGCGCCAAGTACATACAAGTACAAACTAAAGGAGAAATATCATTGGTTCAACACATCACGAGTTCCGAATCGTCCGTCTGCATAGAATGCAGAAGAGCAACTGTTGCTTCCGCAGCATCTCTGTAGGGTTCAAGCCCCGACAGTGGTGGATTTTCTACATTAGCTACACACTAGATCAAATTCAGACGCCGTTTTGAGGGAAATTCAAAAATCCGGCTGCTCTGATCGGTAGTTTTGTGTGTTTTCTCCTATCAGGTGAATCTCGAAGTAATCCTTACACAAACGTGCCACGGTCCGCCATACGCCGTGCGCAATCTTCCCTTCCTCATCTTAGTCCTCATATCTCGCCCACACACACACTCATTCCACCACTGCACTACCTCGTATATCGAGATACCATTCAGGAGGAATACCATGATTTTTCACCTCATTGTATATTATCGCATTATTTTTGACTTTGGCAATTTTCGAAAATACAGAAAGTTGAACAAAAATGAAACTTGCGCCATTTTAATTAAACGTATTTGCTATATTCGAGAAAAGGTAAGTATAAATCTTTTATGCCGTTTTAAATAAAAGTTTGAAAATGTTGAGCTTTATTTAAATACGTCCAAAAATCAAAGTAGCAGGCGCTAGTGTTGACCATAGATGGATGAACTGACGGCCGTCAATCACTTTTTCTGTAACAGGGATCCACAAAACGTGGATTCTGAATTCACGAGTTAGAGAAAGTAGTTTACTACATGTAAAAACCAGGTTTATCCACTTGTTCGATATCAGGGCGCGTCAATAAACGTTTTTCGAAAAATCGCCACTTTCCGCTGCAGAATTACAATAATTTCTCAATACTTTCTAAGTGGGTAGTAAGCATGAAAATAACAACTTTGTCTCGAAAATCAGAAGCTTGGTTGAAGATTTCAGCAGAAGAAAAGAGTAGAGCAAAATCTTTTCTTCACACTGTTACAGAAGATAATCCATGATTTATTGTAGTTACTCTCCAAACTCCATGATCTTACTAAAACTTTGGTTGGAAGTCGATAGGTTGTGAAGGTCCCGTGATATAAAGCTATACACCGATTTGATGGTACTTAGAGGTCACGAGCTGGACTAACAGGAAGACACTACCATCCACTCCTTCCACTCCTTCCAGCTCGGGTCCGGCTCACTATAGGCCTTAAGGCGGCTCCACACATGCGGCATTCGGAGAATCCCGAGCAACCGCTCGCCGATTCCCGAGGAGTGTGGACGAACTGCTTGCGATTCGCCGAGCGCCGAACATTCAGTATTCGCCCTACCCACCGCGTATCAGTCTTTAGGACACATCAAAGGGAGTGAACATTCGCCGAAAACATCGGGACTGGCTGAGCGGTAGCTCCCTGCTGAATGCCGAATGTGTGGAGCCGCCTTTATGGAAGCTGCGTGGCCGATGTTAGGAACTCGACTGCCAACAAGCCCCTCTCTCCCCTACTTTCCTTTCCCAGCATTGCAGTTGCGTTCATTCTCTATCTTCTCCGTGAATTTTTTTTTATAAATTCAGTTTATTTGCAGAATTTAACAAAAAGTTTTTCTCACAAAAAGATGGTGAATGGAGGCAACTGCAATGCTGGGAAAGGAAAGTAGGGAAACATAGAAAGATGTCAGTGCAACAAGGATTGGCATTGGACCCCACAAGATCTCTCTGACATTCTCTCCTACGTTTTCCCCAGAAAATTGCAATGTTGGTCTAAGAACGCTGTTCTTAACACGATACATCCATTCTCCTCGACTCTTGTAAATTTTCTACCTTCTACTACCTTCTCCTGAGCACGATAACTTTAGAACGACATCTAGAGACATGTCCATAAATTGTGTCATGCTGTCCACCCCATATCATCATTTAAGGGTACCACTAGTCTCATAAGAGAAAAACATTGTGGCCATGCCACGTAGGAATCCTTATATTAAACGTATTTAAACTGGGTTATTGAAAACATTATTAAATAGAGAAATATTATGAATGGGGTTAACCGCTACCCCTCTTACGCCCCTACGTTACGCTAACGATCTTAGGAATATCTTTCAATTTATCTCACTCGTGGTCACTGTAATCTCTATATTTCGATAAGTCACATTCATCGCAAAATATTCACAAATACATTCTAAACTGCAGATCCTGTTATAGATAAATATTTCGCAGTAAGGGTGGTAATATTTTTCCTCGGCCGAATTATGTCGTTCGCTGACTCGATGTTTCAGAATCTGTGATTCAGCACCGTGCAGCGCGACTTCTCACGTTTCGTATGGACATATCGCCGATTTTTATATATCAGCTGTCAAAACACATCATATTTTGGCTTAACATTTGACACGCTTCCCCAATTTTTGTTTAACATTCAGCATGTCACTCTTGTCTTGAATGGTAATGTTGGCGAAATTCCATCACCAGATGATACGCATTGACAAGGTCAAGTCGACATCCGAATTTCACCACGTGCGGATTCCAAAATGGAAAGATAATTCTGTGATTGTACGCTACATGAACGCGCGCGGCAGAACGTACAGTTTCACAACTTATGTTTATTAATGGAAAATTTCATTTTTCAAATGTTAAAAGAGGTTTTTCAATTTTAAATTCAAATAATATTATTGTAGAGAGAAATGTGACCTTGCTTATTAAGGACAGGCAGTCAGTAACTATTAAGTGAATATAGAAACAACTCATTAATATTTCTTGAATATTTTTTATTCTTGAAAAACACGCATTATACAACGTTTCCTGAGTTTCATTATTACTCACATCATCAGGCTGTAACATTAATTAAAAATAATTTACAATAAACTGTATTATGTGTGTTAAACGTTATGAGTATGCGGCATTAACTCATCAATGGCTCAAATTGATTTTTTAATATAGTAAATGTATCACAGAACTGCCAAAGAAAGCATCTCTGATCCAATTGGTGGCTGGTGAGAAATACGTTAAACTGACTTTAACTTCAAAAGAAGAAGAGAGAAAAGTGGAATAAGGGGAATAAAACACAGCGATGGAGGAGGGTACAGTACCAATAAGTGAATATTTAACAGGAAAAAATTGTTCAAAGAGAAACATATAATTTTGTAAACAGCCTTTGACACCCTTTCGGTATTTCTGTTTCTGTAGGTAGAGTTTCCAAAATTAATCGTAAGTAATATTTAGTTTCGTGAGAAAGAACTTTGGTGCGTCAAAAGCAATTTCGCCACCTGTTGCTATCTTACGTTCCGTTAGAGAGTTCTGTCTATTAGGGAGTTCTTTAATGTTCCTACGGTGTTCAGAAATGCATGTCTTCAATTTTGGCAAGAAGTATTTTTGGATAAAAAGCGTTGGAAATTTTTCTTAGCACCAAGAATCAAGGCTTTTTTATGTAAATTACGAGCCGAAGGCCGGTGTTTCGCCGCTCCAACTAGTAAATCCATAGCTAAGCGTCAACTGGAGCAATATAAGTGAGCTTCAATAATGGCACAACTCAAAAAATACGAAAATTTAGTGCACTCTCCAGAATTACATATTGTTCTACCTTCTAGTAGCAACAGCAACATATCTTCCAGTAGAGTATTCCACCAAAAAATGGCAGAAGTGTGAAGATGCAAGAATGATACATGTCAGTACAAGGTGAAAACTTCAAACTCTTTTATCTCTACACCTGATTTTGTGAGTGAGGCTAGTTAGGTGGTATCGTGTAAATTGAAATTTACAACTGCCACAGTGGAACTCGAAACTACCCACTTTGTCTCCCCTTAACCTTAGAAAACGTCCGGCCATCAATCTGATCCCTGTTTATCAAATATCTGCTATTCCTCGACACCATAATCTACTTCGCCACCCTAGTCACCTCGGGTTGGCATTTCATCCGACTTAAGTAAGAAGCACGCTTTGAAGCTATTCGTACTTTTACTTAATCCACCCATTTTGGATCGTGTAAACTTAACCGGATAATATACGAATAACTTGAAACGGTTATTGGAGGTTCTTTTGGCTCTTCACTTAAAGCATTAAATATACTCGTATTCTCTGCCACTATAAATCTTACCATATATCGGTTATCTTGTCATGTCAACCATCTTTATCACGATCTTTTGTTTTGTAATGAAGATGGTCAGCAGCTGCCCGTGAATCGTCGCCAGGAAGTTTCCGCCAACGGGACTCTTACTGTGCGAAACGTCGTTGACAGCGATTCTGACCGAGGAGTCTACACCTGCACAGCCCGAAACAAACAAGGCCACGAGGATTCAAAAAGTGTCACGGTTGAAGTGAAAGGTATGTAAAACAAATGATAAATGTTAGTGAATAGCGTTTAGAGGATTATGTTTTCATCTTATGTTATATTGAATAAAATAAAATAAAGTAAAGGTATTAAGATCCGTGTTATTGCCTTAATAATATAATTATGAACGAGAACTACTTATAACAGACGTACAAATAAATTTTGAAGAACTGTGATAATTACATAACTAACTATGCGTCATTAATTACATAAGCAGTTACTTCAATCACATAATGCATAAAAGCAGAATACATATAAAGTAGAATCTCTCTTAACCGAAATAGTGTTTAACGTAGCCAGTTCGATTCGTGACTCCCGTCTTTCCTGTCAATGCTCTACTAAGATATAGGGAGGAGAAAGCAAGATGGTTTTAGAACCAGTTTGCTACACCCACGCATTTGGCCAGTCAGTTCAGTTTGCGTTGTAACGTTGTACAATAGTACGGTATGTACATGTGCACTTATTTTAAAAGAGTAAACGTCCATTATGTAAACTGGAAAAGTAGCTTTTATTCCTCCTTCGGCTTCAAAAATTGCCAGTGTCCCCTTCATTTTGGTTAACAGAGGTTCTACAGTAGTATTATGTGGCGTATTCGTAAGTAACGGCAGAAGTGTGAAGATGTAAGAATGATGAAACGGAACAGAAACAGTCACTATTTGTAATATGGATCATAATACTATATGTTTTATGATTCAAGTAACAATTTATGTAATTCATGATGCACGGTTAATTATGCAACTATTTTTTTTTTCAAAATTTATTTGTGTCTGTTATAATTGGTTCTCGATCTTAATTGAATGTATTAAACAGTGTGGCATTCCTTCACGTAATATCACAAATTAGATTTAATTTATCGTTGAGATTTTGAAAGATTTAGATATAGGCATCATGAATATTTGACTGCAACACGGTATACTTACACGACTTCGCGAAGCTATTTAAATTGTATTCACACACGGTGCGAATTGGCAATTTTCTTAAGAGAAAGCATTCGAAACCCTGAGATGGACTGATTCGAAGAGTTGTTGAGAGAAACGAAGAATATATTTGCTTACGTAACACACTCTGAATGAATCCTAAAAAATGGTCTCTGGAAGATTTTTCTTGTCCACTTTTCTTGATTTGAGCATTTCAAAATTTAAAAGTCATAAATAAGGCTCACATAATAAATGGAGTAATTATATCCCTGGCAAGTAAAAATTAATACTTTTCCAGTATGAATCATCAAATGATTTAGAGAACATCAAACTATCCCCCCTCCCGCTCAATTCGTGCCGTGGTAACCTTTGCATACTACAATGTACCTGCTGAACTTTAATGCAATTTACACTTAAAGCATAGTTCATTTCATTTGATTAGAGAGAAGATAGTTAACTTGAAGTTTCGAAGTTCATGATATGTGTTCAATTTAAACATTTTTATTTTCCAGTATTTGATATAATACTAATAATATTTCAGTATGTTTCTTTAATTTCTGAATCATGTCAGCTTGCAGTAATAGATTCTTTAAAATTTTATCGGAGGCAGCGGAAGAAGGAACTTGAGGGAATTAATATTGTTTCTCTTACAGGTTTCTATCGTTGGATTGTTTTGTTACTTACCTATGAACTGAATATTTTTTTGTATTCCAGCATTATAAACAACCTTTATCGTTACAAGAAATCGTTCATATAATGACATTTTATGGCACAGATTATGACGTATTTGCTATTTATTGCACGAATAATTGCTTCATCACACATTCAGACAATCGCAGTGAGAGAACCGTGAGGAGGTAGCTGTAAGCCGAACAGCCGACCGCCATTTTTTGCACTATGTCAAATACCCGTAACGTAACAAAAAAAAATTAGCTTTGATTCTCTTATAAATGTATAATGCTGTTATACAAAATATATTATAATCTACACGTTCAAAATGTGGTGCTCAACCCTTGGTCGCAAAGGTGCTCAACCTTTGGTCGCTGAGCTGCTAATTATGATCCGCACGTACGTATGAGAAAAATAAAAGCTTTCTTTAGGATTCAGAGCAGGGTTATAAAAAAGTTAATGTTTTCCTCTTATATGAAAGTTATTAACATACTAACACTCACCGTCCTACGAAAAGATCACAAAATTTAGGTATTTTCATTTTTTTAATACAACGGACAATCCTGGGAATCTTTATATAAAAAATTTTGTGATTAATAACCATAGCTCGACCGCATACTAATCAGCTAAGCTTCTCTTAAACAAAATGTTGTTATGGGGAAGGTCCATCTTTCTTGTTGCCATAGTCGTGCGTAAGGAGGGGGTGCAGGGGGCCTGGCTTCCCTGAAAATTTCGAAACTGGCCCCGTAGTCCTATACAATAAAACATTTTATTTCTGTAAATATAATAAATTCCAGATTTTCCCCTTTTTTAAGCTGACACTTTGCAGAATTGATACACGTCTTTTAGGGGAAAAGCTCTCCTATTTGACTACCCTGTAAATGGTTAAACAAAAAAATGCATTTATTAATTCCATCGTTTAAGTAATAATTTCATTCTCTTTTTAGAATATATTATTTATTTACTGATAAAACGTGATATGTTTAATATAAAAGGGAACACACAGGGGCCCAGAAATGAAGTTTCCTCGTATTGTAGGCTGTGCACGCCTATGCTTATTGACCAACTTCTCCACCGTCGTCATCTCGTGTGTCCGCCAAGACTGACGATAGGAAAGAGAGGCGGTCCGACCTTTCATTTCCCACGGGTGTTGAAGGCTGCGTACAACGCTAACGCATAACTATCTATAAAGCACGTAGTCGTAACGTAGTGAACAGTGAACAAACTCAGTAAGACGTATATTGTCGATGATATTTTCATCGGAATCAATCATTTACCCCCTCACCTCCTCCTTACCACTCTGACGCAAATCCAATAAACCTCGTCAGAGAGCATATTAACGAATGTGTAGCAGCTGCAAATATAATTGTATGTATCTCGTTCATCGAGTGCTCAATTGGATAAAGATGGATTATCTCAATACAATTGCGAACGACGCGAAACATGCCACGAATGTGCAGGAAACGTTAAAAGACATCGCCATGTAACAAACTAGTATTTTGGCGAAATTATCGGTCCCTATTTTCAACTCCTTGTCAGATGTTGCGAGGACAGTGGATTAACTTTCGGAGCGCGTTTCTTGAGGCGGAACGACAGCTCCGCCCGGGGAGGGGGGCGTCCGAAACATTTTGTTTTCAGCTATAACAAACAAATCAACCGATAATTCCGAACTCACAAGTAAATTTTTTGAAGAACATGATTCAGAATTTTATTGAAAGTATAACAAGGAAACTTTTTTCTGAAATATGGATGCATGCATGCAGCAAGATTACGCTATTGGTATTTTTCCCTCTGAAGTAGCCCACTCCCTTTCATATATAGTTTTTTTCTAAACTGTATTAGGGGTCGTCCATAATCACATAACGTTGAAGTGTGGGAGTTTGAGGCAGTGTTATGATGCATTACATAGGAGTAGGAGGAGTGATAGTTTAGTGGTATGTAATGCTCATATTTATTTTTAGTTTTTCAACATTTGCTGAAATATTTTATTTTATTTAGTCATATACTAAAGCACTGAACTATTAAAAAATCAAATAAAAACTAAAATATATTAAAAAGTAGTGGTGTATAAATTGTTACAAATAAAGTATATATATATTTTATTTAATATATTGATTGAATCTGTTATATTACAAAGAAAATATACAAAACTAATCTATAGTATATTCAAGAATCCAATTAAATTGGTGCAGTAGACTCTAGGACCATGCATCATTCAGGATAGTGTGTGAATGGGTTGTTGTCAGAAATGTTCTCACCTATGCATCCTTCCTTCCTTCCTTCAAAAATTGTCCCTAATCTTACTTTTAGGTGCAGTCTGCATCACCAACGAATTCTAACTTCAACATAAATTTTTATATGTAACAGGAATAAAATTAATACAACTCGTTACTGTTTTATTATTTATTTTTACTTATTGTAAATGGGGGGTCTGGTGGCAAGCATTACATTATTTTTTTGGGATGTTAGAGGATCATTACAGGGAGGAGAGGGGGTATTAAAAGTACTCCAAATTTGTGTTATGTAATTCATGTAAAGTCTCTTACATGAAACCAAAAAATGGTTGACAACTTCTCACTATGGTATCCAGAACACTTATAGATTACAATTCAAATTGATTTTACTATACTAAAAAATGTTGTTTCCCATTATTAACAAAATGGAGTGTCTCATTGTTGAAAAACTCTCATGACGTTTCTTTAAAGTTCAACTCAACGGTTATTTACTCATGAAAATGTATATTTGTTATTTTTTTGTTTCATGTTCTGTTGTGTAAAAAAATAGAACTTTATGAAATAATATAGTTTTATTTATGTAATTTTAAATTACTGTTAAATCGAACAATTGACAATTTATTATTTTTTCTAAGTAAAACAGTTGGTCATACTATTGAAGTTTAACCAAAAATATGTATGTACATTAAAACATAAATGTTGAGTAACAGATCTAAATGTATTAACTCCATAAGAGCTTAGTGAAAGTAGGTGTTAAATCAAAAGGTTAATTTTTACTTCCCTAGAGATATTCTGTACCTGTGAGTAACACCAAGCAAAATAGTTTGTTTGGAGTAGGCCTAAATTAAAGTTTTGAGTTACAACCATCATGCTCTAAACTTATGGAGTTGATACATTTTGATTTGTTCCCCCATAAAATTCCAGCATTCTTTTATAAACATTTCAAAATAGATGGCCAATTGATAGAAGTTGACCATTGCTGTTGCACAGCCCCCACACAAACAATTAAATTTTTCAAACAGTTGGAGCCACATGATCACATCACTAATATCTTCATTATGTACATCAAATACTTTTTTATAGTTTCTAGGACCCGGTGCCCTACCCCTCCGTCTTGACAAATTGCTCAGAAATTAAAGACCAGATTTTGCCTTAGATTGTATTTATGAGGAGTGCCTCGAGGAAATTCTCCACTATCAACTTTTCTCTGCAAAGAATAAAAAATTAAAATGTCATATATATTCTAAGATAACACTACTCTCTATAGGGGGTCATAAAAAAGGTTTCTTGATTTATAATTAGTATGTAAAAATCAAGCACTTAAAAATATGCACTCACATTTTCTTTATTCCAGGAATATAGTATCTTTCCTTGAGAGAATGAGATCAGACTACAAATTAACCAGTTCATTTATAATGAGCATATATTTTCATGCTGATAGATCTTTTTTTACAAAGTTTTTCTCTTTGTCAAATGTTTTTCCAGTAAACAGCATTTCAAGAGAAACTAAAATATTGACTGATTTAAGGGATCTTATATCAGTTTTATTATTTCCCAATTTTCAATATTCATTGTTCCACCTGCCATATAAGTCAAGGGAGCAAGTACATTCCACATTGAAAAAAAAAAGAAAAGAAAAAAGTTTTTCATCTGTTTTTCTCCATGCTTAATATTGTATCCCAACAATGTCTTCTAATCTACTTCAAGGTCTTCTTTTCAGTAGGGCTGTCAGTAAGAAAATCAGAAAACCATGAAGTAAACAGTTAATAAATTGTAAAAGCAACTAAAACATTTCTTGGCTTGGAAAATCTAAGCCACAATTATTTCCTTCTGGTTAAGAGAGACAATTAAAATTAGAGATATGTTTTTGTACCATCGACAATCTGGTAATGACCTTTAACATGTAAAATACTGTTAGCCTTGATTTTAGTTTCCTGAGATGCAGATTCCATATTTTTTGATTGATGTATCTTTCAGTACTGTTACAAAATGTATACTAATAGCTCACAATTTATATAATATATCTGTTGAATAATTTGTTTACTTTTCTCACTAACCTAAAACTCAGTCAAATAAACTTTGCTTTAAATTTTTAGTTTTATTCCTGAAAGAATATAATTTTATAAACATTATTATGGTTGTAAAATATTTAATTTTCAGCTCTCTTAACAGCAATTTTGTACCATAAACATGTTTTTATAATCTAATGTAATATTTAAGCAAGCAATTTCTTTGTGTGTTCTTACATTACGTAAGAGAAACAACATAAAACTTCAAGAAAGATAAATGATGATTAGGAATTGAATAATATCTTCTTCTTTATTTTCAAAATAGAAAGGAAATAGCATGTTTTACTAAAGATGCCTTTGTTGATTAACAACAGAATCTTCATTTAAATTCTTTCCACAAAATTTGTTATTTTTTTATTATTTTTGCCTTCATTAGTTATTATTTTTTATTATTATAACAGATCAATGTTGATTGAACTCCATTAATTGCCATTATCATTTATCTCTCTTGGTGGTTTTATATTTTTTTCTAGTGTACCACAATTTTGTTGGTCTGTATGCTTTTGCAGTCCCTCCTAAAATAGAGCCTTTCAGCTTTCCGGCCAATATACAGGAAGGGGCACGAGTCCATGTGACCTGTGTTGTTAGCGAAGGGGACTCCCCTCTCAAGATAGAGTGGCTCAAAGATGGGCGTGCACTAGCAGCAGAGGATGCAGCATCCATCAGTACATACCAAATTGGCGACTACGACTTGGCACTGCGGCTTGTGAGTGCCGCTCCAGACCACAATGGAAACTACACGTGTGTGGCTACCAATGAGGCTGCCAGCACATCGTACACAGCCCTGTTGCTGGTGCATGGTAATCCTGTTATCTCTGCAGTGTTTATTGCTGCAGCCTCCAGTCCATCCCCTGTGCTCTATGTGGTCATCCCCTGATACTCTTTTGTGACTTGTTTTTTTTTTTTTTTCCTCTCTTTCAACTAGCTCTAGCTGTTAGCTCGTAGACCTTAGTCTCATCTTGTGTTCTTTTTGAGAAAGAAAAAAAGGAAGAAAATACTCTTATCTTCTGATTCTGATTCTACCTGCTTGATTCTTCCAGTTCCGCCTAGGATAGCTCCTTTTTCTTTTAACAACGACCTGTCTGAAGGAGTGCGAGCCCACGTGACTTGTTTCATAGAGAAGGGCGACCCTCCATTTGACATAACGTGGTTGAAAGACTCTGACCCGATTCCACCTGGAAATGATCAGGAACCAGGATCGGAAACAAAGGGCTTAAAGATCATACCCATAGATGGTAAATCTAGCATGGTTGTTGTTGAGAGCCTAACGGCTAGGCATACAGGCAACTTTACCTGCCTCGTCAGGAACTCCGTGGCTGAGGTAGCCCACACAGCGCAGTTAATCGTCAGCGGTAAAGCATTTATCTTGGCATGTCTTCCTTCACTTCACTACACTTCACTTCAGTTCACTTCACCTCACTTCACTTCACTTCACTTCACTTCACTTGGTGATTTGAGGCTTTGCTTTTTGAACCGAGGGACTTGAGTTGTGCTGTGAGAGTGTGGGTTCAGTAATCCTGGCAAGCCACTGTGTTTCATCAATGCCAAATATTTTTCTTAAATTAACTCAATTGCATTTTGTTTGTAAAGATCATAAATAATTAAAACCTATAACTAATAATATAATTGAAATAGTTTTGGAATATAAGACTTTAGTTATTCTAATTGCATGTATTATGTAAAACATCATATTAAGAAAGCTTCTTTGAGGTTTATGTTAGGAATATGTACATCTGTTGAGACAGAAAACTTTTTGATGTGAGTAACAAAGCAAAGTCTCAGATTTTGTTCTCTCTCTTCAAAAACAATATTATAATATTTAGTTATTGAACAGTTTTAAACTAATTAAAGTTTAATAATCAATATCATGACAAACACACTACCTACTTTCAGCAAAACTGAAGGTAATACCATTTTATTACAATATAATTTTCATTATTGCTGTGTGAACAGTACCTAATTAAAAAAATAATTTTATAAAAATTCATCAATAAACAATATTTTAAGTATAAAACCAATAAACACAAAAGTGAAGAAAATAGGATGAATTAATTTTCAATTATTCACTTACACTCTCCGTGTTTCAGTCCACTGCATCTATCCTTATTTGTCTACATATATACCAGACACTGGCTGCCAGGTTATGCCAGATAATGTCACAGCTCTCTCAAAACAACTTGACCAGGTTTCTCTGCAGTAGCATGTTATGGCATGGTTTGTTTTGCTGCCCACAAATCCATCATCCTGAGGCTTCCTGTATGTTGTATATTTAATGCTCACTTGCACAAAGTTCAAGCAACTTGGTTTGGCAGTGGGGAAAGGGTGCACCTAAGCAATACAGGTATTTAGAATACTTAGCTAGTCTTTCAAGCATGAACAAAAATATAGGATTTTTAATAGAGAAGTTTGCCTTATTAATTACGAGTAAACAAAAGATATAATTGAAGATTAAATCTAACATTATAATGAATGTTTACATGTCATTGCTTGGAAGACTACACTGTTAAAATTATTGACGTAGACAGCAGTAAATTAGTGTTGATGCCTCATGGCCAATGTAATTATAATCAATGTGCACAAATGTAGTAGGCATCTTTTAAAGCACTCAGACACACCTATTTGACCTTGGAAAGGTTTGATCCTCACCTACACCTCACATCCAATTACAAAAAATATACTCCAACTTGCATGTTGGTCCAGACATGTGGTACCTTGTTCACACTACACAATTGAAACAAACATAGAAAAAGGAAAGTAAATTCTAATCAGATAAACACAAAATGCAATTCCATGGTCTTCAAACACCTTTTAATGAATTGTAATAGGTTTTATTGTCATCAACACATGAAAGTATCAATGATACTAAATCTCTAATTCACTATTGTCATATTCTTAAAGTATCAAAGACACAGAAAATGTTCTTCATAATTGTAAAACAGTGATGTAGGAAATATATTTCATCAGAGAAAACGTTATTCTTGTTAAGTATACTTTTTTCCTTTCTTGTTGGACATATTAAATTCAAACCTTCATAGGCCGAAATTATAAATACAATATACCTTGTATATTCATTATATATAATGCAAATGTATATAAATTATGTCTTCTTTTTAATAAGTTTAATATTATTTATTCTAGGTAACAAAAATCACATCTGTAGATGTCTGTGTAAACAAGGTATCATGGCTTTTCAATTGCAGCTTTTCATATCTTTTGAGTGCACTGTTGCACAGGACTGCAAAACGCAAAACAATTGAAATGTCACATGAGAGCATGTGATTGGTTGCTTTTGTATTGTGAATGAATGGCCCACTCACCAGTCACAAGCTCAGTAGATTGCAACACAAGCAGTTACAAAATATAATTTATTCACAATATGGCACTATTAAATTATAAGTTCACACTCTTTTGAAATGATAATTAGGATGTATTATAAACTAAAAGTTGGCCTAGATATAATAAAATTTCAAAATTTTATAAAATAATATTTGGCCCCTTTCCCATTGCTGCAAAGATGGGCAAGACAAAATATGATAAAACTAAGCAACATATATTGATCACATCTGAGTTGAACAAATGTCTTTGATTGCAGTTCCTCCTCGCTGGTTAGTTGAACCTCAGAATCAACAAGCAGCAGAAGGTGTATTGCACTTTGTTGTGCACTGTCAAGCGGAAGGTTTCCCTCCTCCAACTATCACTTGGAGAAGAGCTACAGGTCAGCCAGTAATGTCTTCTAAAATACCATGGTTTACAATTATTGTGAGAAACTCAGAAAGAACTACAATACTCTTTAACATTTAAGAATTCATGATAGTTTTGTCTGCATCATTCAACATCAATAGTAATTGAATCAAAATAATAACTTAATGAATATCTATTCCAAACTGTATCAAAGAATCCATTTGTTTTCTTTAGATTTTGTAGAACATTTTTATATGGCAATTTCTCCTGCAGGTTTTTGTTACAATATTAGTTATTCTGCCTTCATAAAAATATCTTAAACTACAATTGATTTAATTGTTTATTCCGTTTGTATGTCTAACTCAAATGGTTTAAAAACAGCACGTTTTAGATGATGGAATCTTTATTCAGATATTAATTTTTTGCTAAGGATGCGAGAAGATTATTTTTTCTTCTCTCCGACATCTGTCTGTAGTGTTTTAAATGATTCACTCTATCAGTGACATAGTATGACTTTCTTACCCAAGCAAGTTTAATATATAATTTTAACATATAATTTTCTGGTTTTAAATTGGGCCGTGTATGTGTCATGAACGATAGATAATTCAGGATGTGTGTGCCTATGTGTCTGTGCGTGCGTGCATACGAGTGTGCCCTGCGTGAGTGCGAGATGAGGAAAGTTTTAAAATTCGCGCGCTTGTAAGCTGCTCAAAATGATGTGAAATCTCTCTGATGAACCTCTTTTAAGCAGGCTCTACCATTATCGGATACCACAAAACAAATATGCCAACATTGATAGATATTTAATTGCTAATTAATTACGCAAAATTAATTTAATTGATCTTCAATTTTTTACGGAATTAACTGCCACAATGGATTACCACAAAAAACTACATCATAATGTAAAACGATTTAATTTCTAATTAATTGCTGAAAAGTAATTAAATTGCTCTTCAAACTTTCGAGTAATTACAAGAAATAGTAGAATGTTTACTCACGCATACTACTTGGGCTATAAGATGCAACGTAGTTCGGTTCCTTTCTGTTCCAGATTAGATTCCAGCATGAAGCAATTTCTTCGATGAAAACAATGATTTACCAACCATGGGAACCGCGGGAACTCAATTTAAAATAGAAATGTAAACATTACTTTACACTTTCCGTTTATACTATTTATATTGTTTTTTTACAAAATTTAAAGAAGCATAATTGGCATATATAGTGTGTGAGAGTGTGTGTGTGTGAGAGTGTGTGTGTGTGAGAGTGTGTGAGAGTGTGTGTGTGTGAGTGTGAGAGTGTGTGTGTGTGTGAGAGTGTGTGTGTGTGAGAGTGTGTGTGTGAGAGTGTGAGTGTGTGTGTGTGTGTGTCTCGTCCGGACGACACGCAGGACGTCGTCGCGCGGATACATGCGGCTGTGATCGTCTTCACCATCGAAACTGAGGGGCTGGTGCAAGTTTAAATTTAGTTATTTCGTCCGTCGCTTTTCGATCACATTTTTACAGTTACAGCAACCACTGTAACTTTCTGGTAACGGTGCGAGGAACACATACTAACAACTTACACAAATATCCACCCCCGGGCGGGATTCGAACCTTGAACACTTCAAGCCACGGCAACTACGGCAGCCTTAGCAACGTCAGCTATTCAGGTCTGCTGGCAACTGTTTGATGTATTTGTGTCAAAAATAAAGATGTTGGTGTTACCTGCAGCGACTCGTGGATTTTTCTCTGGAGGGCCTCAGCCGCATTAAAACACAGAAAATGCATTGTAAAGTAAATGCCTCACCTTAGTATTCATGTTTTATTGGTTCAGTTGTGAAAACTTTTCAAACATTAAGCGTATGCGCTAAAAGTTCGTTTTATATTCTTATAAGTGCTTTTATCTTTCACATTGTCATCTACAATTTCTAGAAATACGCTTTTTTTTCAACTAACTGATTCATCATGACCTAGAAGTGACAGGTTGCTTGCTCTACATAATTTCAATACATCTGTTATTTTGGAAACACTATCCCTATTTTTGGTCACTAAAGAAATGTGAATAACTATGTTGTGAATTGTGTCTAAATAGCGGCGGGAGCACTACTTATACTTTCAGATATCGGTAAGTTGCATTTTCCTAGAAATTGAAAACTGACAACATTGTCTTTGTTTTCTAGATTGTTCATGTTTATCTTTTTTTAAATTCCTGAAGATGTTTGAGATCGCATACCCCTTCCAGTCAAAAATAATCGTCTGCTTCCCTGAACCGAGCTTACTCAAGGCTGCCCCGGGAGAGGTTGCGCAGGGCAACTGATGTCAATGCAGTGCCTCTGACCGGGAAGACCTAGGTTCGAGTCCCTATGTGGCAGGAGTTTCGACACTAGCTTGTCAGCTAGGTCAAATTCAGTGGCTGTCTGGAGAATTCTAGTGCTCTGATCGGTAGTTTTGCGTTGTTTCTCCAATCAACACCATGCGAATGCCGGAGCAGTGTCCTAACGAACGGGCCACGGACCGCTCGCAATGTTTCCTTCCTCTTCCTTGAACTATCTTCATCCCTTACTTATACACACACTAATATGCACTACACTACCACACATGCCGGGAGACCCGTCGGTTAGAGCTTGCCTCGGCTGAGGCGGTGCCACGCTGGTAGGAGATACCTGGTTTGAGAAAACATCCTCTAAACGACGTTAAGTCGGCGAATTTCGCCATCCAGCGAGGGAAGATCTCAGTCACCTCCCGTGTGGAAACATGCACTACACTTACGGGACTAACAACGTTAGCCGTTGTCACTCCCGGAATCACTAACAATCATTTTACGGCTGTCATTCTCTGGTAAACCGTCGTAAGAAAAGAGGTCAGAAATTGGTAAGAAAATACGATTGTTCCCTAGTCGCTTGATCTGAAACTAAGTATCCTTGGCATTGCTGAATGTGCACTTGTTCTCGAACGGTGTAATGTGTCTTACTAGTCGGAGAAAAAGTCCTTTCCCGAACTACTACCCTTACGGACGTTCGTCCCAACGCAATGCCCTTCTGTTTTACTGGGAAATAAGTGTGTTATCATGTTCGATATTAGTTGTCATGTTTGCCCGGCCGTCCGCTCATTGTCGTAATCTCCGTGTGATGCTATATAGTGCACCTGTATAATACAGATAATACAGTAAAATAATACCGAAATTACTGTAAGAAATATCCGGAAATTAGTCATTTTAAGTAACCTATTTTTTATCATGTCCTAAACAGGAAAAAGACCAGGAGATTACCGAGACCTTGATATGGACCCTTCTTCCGGTATTACTGTCCACAACAACGGGTCATTAATGATACAACGACTTCAGGAAGAACATGAGGGTCATTATCTCTGCGAAGCCACAAATGGTATTGGTAATGACCTTAGTAAAGTAATATATCTGACAGTCAATGGTAAGTATATAGTGAATGTTTCTTACTATCTTTTTTAAGAATCATTTACTCATGGCCTAATGATTATCCAAATTGGGCTTTCTTATTGAACTTATAATTATAGACCTCACCCACCCACCTACCCTGCTGCCCCTTGGGTGCATCACTGATTATTGCTAGAGCTGGGATTTTTGTATTTCATGAGGTACTTGTTATGCAAGGCTGGAAAACTACGGACATCTTGGAATTACTGTATTAGGTTAATTTTTATTTTTACATGTTTTTATATATTTGAATGCAATATTGCAGACCATTTGACATAAAAGAACACATTTTAATATTTTAATCCTCGTAAGCATTTGAAATTAAGGTTATTTAATTTTCAATTGTTTCTGGTGTATTTTACATCATAATTCTCATAATTTTAATGAAAATTATCATAATGGAACTATGTTACCATTGAACCACCACCACCACAGCCAAACCATCTTCAAAAAATGATTCACAACAGGGTTTAGTGAGAATAGACTTTGGTGAGAATCGGCATTGCTCTGTTAAGTTCTGTTTCTAAGACATGGAACCTGTTGCCTACATTTTGCATTGAAATTGATATATTAGTTGATATAAAATCTTTATTTTAAATCTTTTTTACAAATCAACAACATAAACCCTTTTGAATGACATTTTGGCCATAAAAATCAGTGTAAAATTGTGTTAGCATATTAAATACCTAAAGAAAAAAGTGAAATTACATATTTTTTAGTATTTACATATTTTCATAATTTTTGCTTCATATTTTTGTACTTATTTTGATACTTGATATTACATTTAAAACCCAGCTCTAATCAATGCTATATTGGTGTAAGTGTAAACGATTAGGGGAAATAAAATAATTACAAAGCGGTTATGAAAATCATAAAAATAGTTAATTTTAAATGCCAAGTAATTTTACATTCTGCATAATATGCACTTTAAATGAAGACCTTTAAGTGACAAAATTTATTAACCAAGAAATATAGTTTTTCCAGAAAATAAACTGACTTTTCAGAAATATAACAGGTCACACAAATGTTTAATTATGAGGAAGAAAGTTTTAAAAAATTATTGCCTGTCTTCTGATGAACATTCGTTTTTTTAATACTAATATGGTAAAATATTTTACCCCTACAAATAAATTTATAAGACTCAATAAATATTAATATTTTCTCTGTTTCATCTAGCACCTGCTCATTTTCTTGTCAAGAGTAAGAATCAGACTTCCCGCATGGGAGCAAGTATAAATCTTCAATGTGAAGCTTATGGAGATAAACCTCTTCAAATAATATGGAGAAAAGCAGGATTAACTCTTGATCCAGCGGCCATAGATTATAGGTAAAGAGTTTTTATCACTTATGATCTATCAAATTCATTATGATTTCACGTAAGTAAATTAAAATTAGGTATTCAGTTTTTTTTAATTTTTTAAAAGTTTTGTGAGAGAAAAATTGGTTCTAATATTTTGCATCTAAATTTCTCCTAATGAGCCAATGATATCAGATTATCTGTGACATCTTATTTTTGACATGAAAGTTTTTTTTTATAATCATATGCCTACATAATGCTTTCTTTTCTATTTTATCTAAAATTAAAAATGTGAAAATTGTATTGAAATGTAATAAAATTAGCTGGATGTGGCGTCACCAGAATCATAAATATAATTAAAAATGTTTTTTTTTAATTTAAAAACTATTTTTATTAATGTTAAAATCTTCAAAAATATTTTCAAATGTTAAAATTTTCTCCAATGTAAGTTCTACATGAAGAGACACTTTTAACATACAGTTGTCTAGTTCTTTTATCCTCAAGCATAGTACTTTATTAAGAATCAAAATTAGATAATACAAAATATGTGAGAAGCAAGTCTTCTTGTTCGATGTTCTTTTGGGTTATGTCCACCACCACTCCAGAATAGAATGTTAATTTCTTATCCCTCTCCCAGAAGAGAATATTCTTTGAATGAATTTTCAGGCTGCATATTAAAGAAAATTTGTATATTTTCAAACTCCTATTCTATAACATACCGTTCTATTCTTACAGAGTTAGTTATATCAAAATATAATTTTATTTTCGAAATTATCTTTCGAAAGGGACATAACCCTATCTTATATGATAAATGTAACAAAATTATCTTATAAAACAATAATTAGCTTACGAGGTGGCAATGCTAATGATGAAAAAGTGAAAACTCTCGGCTTCCCGAGCTGATGAAGAACCTTTTCCCTCCCAGTGATCTAAGCTCTGAACCTAAACCTGAGCTAGAATATAATACATAGAGTGGCTGACCATATGGCCATATTCAACGCCGTTAGTCGACGCTCGACCCCGCCATGTTTTTTTGCCGTAAAACATGAGAGCGGTGCCTAATGGTGGCGTGTTGTTTGTAACATATCTTATTTCCATATTGTTGTCTTTTCGTTTTACTGTATTTAAATTAATGTTAGTGGCTACAATAAAAATATTCACATTGCCTTTAGTATGTTTGGCATATATCTGTAAAAATAGAAGTCATCAAACCACAAATATATCATTTTTCAAGTTTGCAGGCTTATTTGTGCTCCGTTTGTTAGCTTCTTATTGCAATAACATTCACTTTCAGGCTTTATGGTAACTACAATAACATTTCAACAGCTTCCATTCTTATGACAAAAACCGATGCAGGAAGCAACGCGTTTCTAAAGTTTCTCAATTCGTTCTCCTTGCATATTGTGGTTTCATTTTTAAATGGTTGGTTTTTGCTCGTGAAACACAGAGAGTGAGAGGATTTATAATACGCGCGGCGCACGCCCACCCCGCCGTAACCAATGCCAAACGGAATTCTAGAATTCTCTGTAGGGCGCTGCTTTGACTGAAAAACATGGCTTCAATTTTCTGCAAAGATGGAGGCGCTTCAGCCACTCTATGTAATCTAGTATATCTCGTTACCTAAATCGCATATTGGAAACAGCTGCGTCCGAGCAAAACTGTGATAGCGACCTATTACATTTCATTACTTCATTGGCATCACGCGCGAGGGAAGGGTACGGCGTCGGAAGTGTGGGCTCGGTCAACACTCACTGGAAATAGACATCCAGGGGGAGTTGGCTCGGTCCCTTGACGGAGCACGTGGTTCGCGCGGCCACCGCTAGATTTCAGCACAAAATAACGCACAAACATGCTCTGGGAAATTTTATAATTTCCTGGTCGAATTTGAAAAAATATTATCAGTCCCCTACCAGGAGACTGAGATGCGTCGAATGTCACCTCGTTTGTCTCCACTAGTGGACGGGAAGGGATCGAACCGTGAGTGACGGACGGATACACGCAAGTTGCTTAAATACTGTATGAAGTTTTCTTTAAATAATGCATATTTTGAGATAGCAAGGACTTTTATAAAAAATCAATATTATAATTAACAGAAAAAGTGTATTGAAGGATCATTGCATCTAAATAAATATTGAACTTCAATATTTGTATAGGAAGAGAGACAAATGGTATGGAAAAAATGTGTCCTAGAAGAGCGTGTTTCAGCTGAAGAAATAATACTAATGTTTCAAACATAAAATGATATTAACCTTCCTTTTTAGTACCATATACCTGATGTTGACAATCAAGTAGGAGAGAGGTGTCTGCTTAACCCATTTATACTGAGTCAGCTGTTTTTACCCAAATTCCAAATTGCTGAAAACTATAAAATATTCAGATATAAAAATATTCAAAATGTTATAATTTACTGACTTAAGTAAAATTCCTTTACATTGTGAATAGTCAAGATTAAAGTTATTCAAGCAGAGGTAAAGTCTCATGCACATGCACTTGTACCCATGCATGCACACATATGGCAAGATATTATTTTATATCATTTAATAATATATAAAATTTTAAAAATAAATATCAAAGAATTATTAGTTTAATAAAATTAGAATGTGTGCAATGCTACTTTATTATTTTTATTCCAGATATAACAAAAAAGAAGTAAACATCACAGGAGGGATTGCTTCTGAACTAGGAATATCAAGTACAAGTAGAGAGGACAGTGGTAGATACTATTGCATTGCTACAAATGCATTTGGCCATGATGAAATGTCTGTTCAGTTATTCATTCAGGGTAGGTATAAAACAGTAATGGTGTCTTTCATTAATTTGTTTCTTCCCAAAAAAGTAAAAACTGTGTGTGATGTGTGGGGAAGATGTATTATCTGCGCACGTTTTCTTGAGCTCCATAATCCTTACCCCACCCTTATAATACATATAAGTAAATTATGAATAACAAAGTGTGGTTAGCAACGTTTGAAAACTTGAAATTTTTGCTCCCTAGTAATATAAAATTAATTTACGTCATTAAACAAATAACAGTATTTTATAGTATTGCTAACAAAATATCTCTCTATAACCCTGACCCCACTCCAACGACAAAGCTAAAAAACGTGCTCATAGCAAAGTTACATTTACAAGGGGCCATCTTAACTTTTGCTCAATGGATCAAGGGATAGCTCATGTATTGATTAAAACATTTTGTTTGTAAAATTTAAATGCATTTACTAAGTTAATATTTAACTGTTTCAGAACCACCAGATTTTCCCAGAAATTTGCATGTAATTGAAAAAGGCAGCCGATTTGTTAAATTGGGTTGGATCTTAAGTCAAGATGGAAACAGTCCAATAACTCATTACACTGTGGAGTACAAAACAGATTCAGGTAAATTGAGTGTCATTATGTATGCTGTTCATATTGAAAAGTGATTTCCCTTAATTCTCGTGACATTCTATGTGTTTTTGCTAGTATACATTTATTTCAGTGATCAGGTTTAAGATTATTTCTCGTAAGAAAATTGAGACTAGTAATCATAGACCTAATGAAATGTGCAATATTTTAGGCAATGTGATTGTCATTATAGCCATACCAATATCAGGTGTCGTACACAATATACAGTGCCGCTAACTAATTTACTAGAATCTCACAGTGGAACATACATTTTGTTAACAACACTTTTTTGTTCAATGCACAAATGTACCGCCCCTGCCGGATCAAGTTCTGAGCTATCGACTGGCCTCCCCACTTGTGTGGTAATGCATGTTATTATGTGCGTAATGGGAGATCAAGGGCATGGAAGCAATGATCGAACGTTGTCCGTGGCCCATTTAGTAGGGTACTGATACGACATTCTCATGATACTGATCGGAGAAACCACGGAAAACTTCCGAACAAAGGCTATTAGAATCCTCCTCCAAACAGATTGAATTCGACTCGGCTATGAAATAGTGTTGAAAATCCACCATCAGGACATAAACCGTAGGACCTCACGGTCAACGATGTTGCAGAGATCTCAGCGGGTTTGGTAGGTTGTAATACATTCAAATCCCATTGGTAATGATGTATATTCTCGTATACAACGTATAGAGAAAGTTATGCAGTGCTGCTGGAAGTGCCCTTACTGTCAGGAAAACAGGTTTTCTGGGTCTCTGAAACCAAAAAGGTGTGTTTGTCTTTCTCGTATACATATGCGGTCGGGCGAGCTGTGACATAGTTCCATGCGGGGGCCCCAGTTTGCTGAAACAACTGAAACAGCTCACTACATTCTGGATCGCAGGCCGCCTTCATATAAGGCTCCATCCTTGACCCGCGTGCCCCCTCTCGTTTCGCCCTGTCCCTACATGTATTGGCAATTTCTCATCCAAAAGGGAGGCCCCCAGTTTATCCAACCTCCAAAGAGATCATTGTCGAAGTGAGGGGGGCGCTTGATTCTGGGTGTCACTCAGTTATCAGAATAAACAACTAGTGCTTCTAAAACAGCACGTGCTTTCACGCAAAATTCGCGAAAATTCACTCAAATTTTCAAAAACTTGTACATGACCTTATTTCAAAATCTATCTTTAAGGAATAGATTTCATTAAAAGAAAAATGTATTTCTTCATAGTTGTAGTTATAGGAAGACTCCGAAACAATTTTAAACTTTTTCAATTTTAAAAAAATAAGGGTTTTATCATACATGACATCTGCACCGTTCTCTTAAACTTCACACTATTCAACAACAAAATTTTTAAAAAACGATAGAGCCATTTTTTGAAAATTTGGGAAATGCCCAGGGGCTTCATGTAAAGTCCACCCCCCTCCAAATTAAAATATCGATTTCAAATTCAAGAGGCCGCGACATCAGTTAAATTGGGGAATATCAATTTTAGAAACAATCGGCTGAACGGTTTAACCGCTTGCGTTGTTCACAGACAGACGACAGGACAGGCAGACGTTTTGCCGTCATTCAATTTTTCGGTATCAGGGGCCCACAAAACATGGATTCTGGCTACACCACGTGTTAGAGGAATTTTTTCTAAATTAAGCAATTGGATTTATCCACTTTTTCGTTACTAAGGCCTCTTAGAGTTTTTCCGCCGAAAATTCTCTGTTTTTTCGCGCAACACTACATAATTTTCTCTTTACTCCGTAGAGACAAAGTAAATAGGAAGTCATTGTGCAAAGGTGAAGTTGACATTTGAAGAACAGTGGGCAACTTTTACGTTAATCATACTTGCCCTTGACATCGCAGGTACATTCAAACCATAATTTTTTTCAGAGAAAGTATTGAACTTGAAAATAAATTAATTTGGAAAAACTGCTGTTCAGTTACTTGTATTGCTTGTTTGATAATATGAAGATATTATAATATTATTTCAGTACTTCAATTTGTATTGTGCTCTGTCGAGAATCCTTATATTTTTAATGGAAAATAAATACTGGAATTCAAAATTTGTTATTTTGTTTCTGATTATACACAATGTATATACAAATGCATTAGAACCAATGTAATGGTAATGAGATCACTGTTGATATTTTCTAGATATTTGGCATGAGTATACGGCTCAGACAACTGTACCAGGAGGACAAGCCACCACACAGGTTACTGGCCTTCGCCCGGCTACCAACTACCAGTTTCGCCTCTACGCTGAAAATGAACTTGGTCGCAGTCAAGCAAGCGATGTAAATTTGCATTTTGTTCTTCCACTGTTCTCGTAATAGACATTTTTAAGAAGTTTGTACAAAACCTTTTATTTGAAGCTGATTCTATGAATACAGCGGCGGCTCGTGAACAAATGTTGAAAAAAGAATAAAACGGAGATTACTGAACAGTGACGGATCCAGTGAGAAGCCATACTTCACTGGATCCAACATTTCTGTGTCATTTTACTAATTGTTTACAAATCAAATGCCTCATATTAATGGCATCTCATTTCTAATTACTACTGCCAGAAAACTCGAGCGGGTGCTTTTTCGTAGAATGTACATTCTAAAAGATGGTATTTTCTTGAAAAAATTATGAAGGCACGAGTTCGAAATGTACTTTGCCCCTTCTAAAAATGTCAGGATCCGCCCGTTTAAGAGTTGGAGTTAATTTTTTGCATTTTCCTCACTAGCACAATGTACAACGGTACTCAACGCAGTAGTAGGGGTAGTATAGTAGGTCGACAATATTGTCCAAAATGTTGTCATTTATCTACATCGAGAAATCGAACGGTGTCATTATTGGCCTATTTAAGACGAGCACACATGCGTTGAGTATAGACAAAACGTAGTACAATGTGCTCTAGGCCCATTGCAGGGCCTTCTTTGAGAATACGGCGCAGCGAGGCAACGTGTGCGCCAACATGCGCGCTGGGGGCCCGAGTCACCTCAGGAAGGGAGGCGACGCGCATCGCGCGAGCTCAGGTTGTGAAGCGCTTAAAATAAAAATATTACTCGTGCTGCCGTAATGTAATGTTCATTTTATATTTTCAGATCAAAAATACACAATACTAAAACTGCAAGAGTCATTCAGTTTGTGTTGTATCTGAAATGTATTAAACTAGAACATATTTGTTGCGTTGGCAATGTCTACCTTTGATATCGTAAGGAGCCGCCACTGTATAAACAGCAATTTAACTCTCAGTAATAAGTCATTCTGTACAAATTTATGTTTTATTAATTCATATCTATGGTCTCTATGAGAAGGAAATGTTCATATTTCTGGGGAGTTTATGAACACAATTTTTAAATATTGATTCAATTTCAAACATTATTCATCTTATGTCAATTTTACATGTACACTGTTAATGCATGTATGTTAATGCACTTTCTGAAGGTATAAAAATCGGTTATAGTATAACATAAAAATTACAGATTCATAAACTCTCTTCATAAGGGTGTGAATTGTCGGAGGGGGGTGGCGGAGATTGTTCCCTCCTGGAAAGTTGGATGTCCCCTGCTGAAGGATTTATTTCTCCTTGCCAGCGATACAATTAATCCATAGTAAGTGCTGTGTTTATGATTTCCTCACTCTGAAGTGTTCAAATCAAGGAATCCAAACGGCGGGAATTGGACAAGAAAACCTTCTCGAGAGCATTATTAGAATTCATTAAAATTGTGTTGCGTAAGTGAAGATAATATTTCGTTCCACTATCCATCCAGTATATAATTTGTTCCAATTCTTCAATCGTTCCCTCTTAAAGTTCTGAATGCCCCCCTCTGGAAAAAATTACCAATTCGCACCCTTCTCTCCAGTTCCAAATTTCCGTTTAATGTAAATCAGTGTTCATGTATTTTCATTTTCTGATATTTTTCTGGTTAGTTTTATATAACATGCGGCCTATTATTACATTGGTATTAGTGAAATGACTTTATACCGAAACTGACAAGGGTTTCATTCTTTTCCTCAGGTTCTGGATGTAATAACGGATGGTGAAACTCCAGGAGGACCACCTCAAAATGTGCAAGTTGAAGCCACGAGTTCCACTGAATTACATGTAACATGGGATCCTCCTGAGCATTACTTGTGGAACGGAGAAATTTTAGGTTACCATGTTGGTTATAAGGAACTGAGGTAATCTAATATATCCATACTCTAATTATACGAGAGAATTCTGCCTGCAATTTAAATGGTTTTCATTTTTTCGTTTCAAAGGACAATAGTTTGTTATTTAACTGTCATTGACTGGTCCAAAAACCAATTCCAATCATAGGTGGTCTTGCTAGCTCAGTAGTTCGAGCAACTGGGAGTAAACAAGAAGACCAAGGTTCAATCAAAGAGCGTTGGGATAACCTTTGCTTTGAATAATTAAATAATTTATGTTGGTTTTGAGAGATTTTATTAATTTTCCCAGGAATAATTGGAGTAAATGCTGATATGATCACTTTCATAACTGGATAAGGATGAATCACTTTCAACATTACATTTTAACTTTCTCGTATCTACTTCGTAAATATCATGTAATTCCACAGGAAAAGTGCCGATTATTTCACAAAAAATATGTTTTTGGGGCCCCTGATACGGAAAATGTGGATTCCTCGTGCATTTATATGTATAAAATTTATTTTACTTTCTCGCTTAACGTAATAAGAAGTATTATACAAAGTATTATAAACATGCCCCAGAAAACGGCGATTTTTCGACAGAAAATCTCTTATTGCCAGACCCTGGTAGCAATAAAGTGTATAAAACAAAGTTTTCAATATTTTAGTTGTAGGGAGCCGCAAAAAAAAGTTTTCGAAAATTTAAAGAGTTCAATGAGACTGGGGCCTATCCATTTTTAAGAAAAAAATGTGAAGTAATTTTTATGATATTTTGAAAATGTCGAGCCTTCATGTAAACTACCACCAAAAATAAAAATAAAATATCCGTTTCAAAATCACTCGGGATTGCAACAACCGGAATTTTGGTCGAGGAATATCAATTTTTATGCAAATTCTGCCTACGGTTTAGCTGTTAATGTTGTTCATAGATGTTCGGAAGGACGGTGAGACAGAAGATAGACAGACAGGAGGATGGACCGACAGATAGACGTTTTGCCGTAAACCAACGTTTCGGTATGAAGACCCTTCAAACGCTGATTCCGAATTTGCCACGTATTAGAGATTATTTACTACGTGTAAAAACAATAATTATCCATTTTTCGGTATCAGGGACCCACAATAAGAGTTTTTTTCTGTCGAAAAATTCCCTCCTTTACTTTAATATTACAATACTTTACTGCAGTATTTCGATACCAAGTAGATGTATGTCATTTAAGTATCGGGTTAATCACGACACCTCGGCGTCATTTCCCTGACTGGGGTGGTGCCTTTGTACTTACTACATTATGGCGGGAAATGAACAAAATGTGGCAACATACTAGAATATTTATTTATGAATACATCAAATAATAAGTCAATATGAATGCATTCTACTAATATATTATTGTTAAACATTAACGATAATCTGCATTTACCTTCAATTTTCCGTTCTTAAGAAATTGCACCGGACGTCGCAGAAAACACATTTTTCACATTTACCTCAAAGTTTCTCTGAATACTGAAGTATCAAAATTGCATTGGAGTACAAGAACAGTCCACGGCATTACATAACTTTCTTGTTGATGAGTCCGGACGGTAATGCCATCCTTCGTAACTCTCGTCGTTTCGCCAGATACTCGTGTGGTGATAAAGACCAACCAAGCGCACCGGGCGATGAAGACGAGTGGGTAACGAGGAATGACACCATTGACCTGATCTCCACAACAATTGCGCTATGTCACAAAAAATCTTCATTATCTTATGTCTTTATTTTTTAAGTAAAAGCTTGATTTTTTGATGCAGTACGCTTTGCAAATCATGCTTTCATAAACCCTTCCTCGTGCTTTGTTTTCGAAGTTGTAGATTTCGTAGAATGTTACATTGCAACAATATTCTACAAATAATATGTAAACACAGTTTTCTTAAGAACGATTTCAATTTTTTTTTCTAACCTTATTGTAAAGGTGAGCACAATACATTGAATTCTATGAAGCAATTGACATTTTCATTAAAACTTTGGATGGGTGTCTTAACTATCGAACAACCCAGCAATATAACGGATAGTACGTTGAACGTAGAAACGTTTCCTAGTTCAAATTCTAACCTTTCTAATTCTTTTTTTCTTCATTTGCGGAGCACTCACAGAGGCACGTGGTGGGTCATTGAGGCGATCTCCAAGTGAAGTAACCCATCGGTCGCCGCGAAAGCACATGCAGTCGAGTTTAAATGTGCGAAAGGCGTTAACATAAAAGTTAGGACTACGTCCATAAGCGGACTCATTCACAATGTGTTCGCATAAGCATAACACGTAAGACGTTAACTTAAAAGCTTGCAAGCTTCAAGCATCTGTGCTTATGCTTAAGTAAGACATAAGAAATGAACCAATCACAGTACGTGAACTCAAAATCGAGAATCAAAAGAGGAGCGAAGTCGATAGACGAACTAATGCCATACGGGCCATGGACACAGTCGATACCTCAAAATCGATTCTCACATCCAACCAATTGTAAACTAGAATGCCTCACAGCCAATAGAAACTCTTATTTTGCTTACGTTTATGTTAGACATTGTGAATACTTCAGTCTATCACCTATGTTAATGTTTACGTCTATGCGTTATGCTTATGTTTACGCTTTCATTGTGAATGGGTCTTAATACGGTTCAGCTAGCCTTATAATATTCCGTAACAGTTTTAAATAGTACATATGAGAGAGTATGTGCTGTTTCAGGAGCACTCATCAAAGGTTACATATTGGATGAAATGGTGTGCTGTACAAAGATTTACTAAGTTTCTGTTCGATTTATAGTTATATTCTAGAACTACTGATGCTTGAGGCACAAATACCCAGTAATTTTTATTTGTTTTTATTATTAATACTTTTATAAGGCCTATGCTTGTTTTTAAATCTATATTTGTACTATAATTTGAAAAAATATTTGTTTTATACTCAAATAACATTGCTTAAACATAAATGAATTCCGATTTATTTGTTTATGTTCTTTCAAACGTACTTATGATTTCCTGATACAGAATTGTCAAAAATAAATTAGAGTTATTAACAAAAGTACAATGATTAAATATAAAATAAGTAAGTAAATAAGAGCACATAGTATTTAATGTATGTAAACATCTACTCTTAGTCGGTGTGCATGTAGTTATGTAACAGTCGGCCTACCGACTGCCTAAACAGAGGGGGTTACAATTAGAATCAATAGAATTAGAATAAATACTATTAGAATCCACATTTTAATTATCAGTTTAAATGTTGAATCATTTTATGTCGTGTATAGCACTTATATTGTTTTTTTAGATCTAATAATGAGCAATACCAATACAAAAGAGTGGAGAACCGTGGCCAAGGAGGAGACTGCCTTTTAAGTGACCTGAAGAAATTTACTAGATATAGCATTGTTGTACAAGCTTATAATGCCCTTGGACAAGGACCCATGGCTCAAGAGGTTGTTGGTGTCACAATGGAAGATGGTAAGTAGTAAAATTAGATATTTTGCATGTTTATGAGAAAAATAAAACAATTCAAACTTTGGTATTGTATTTCATTAGTTTTGCTTGTTACTTTCTCGCCCTTACTTCTTAAGAAGAGAAAGTATTTTAATCGTGCGCCGGAAAATGAATTTTCAGCAGAAAAGTGTTATTTGGAATGTTAATGCCAAGATAGATATTGAAAGAAACAAAATATTAACAGTACTAAATAAAAATTGGAGTCCACTTCAGAAAAGTTCTTCAAATATATTTATTTATGTTTTCTGAGAGGTTTACAACAGATGATATTTCTCAGTCCTCACTCGACAATTTCACCGAAAACGCAAAAAAAAATGACGCTACGCCCAGCTTCGTTGGTAAACGCCGCGCAGGTGTCTGATGTGTCGCGGCAGCAGCTTTGAATTTCACGCCCGGAAGTAACTTTTAAATTCAATTTTATTGGAGACAAAATTTATTTCGGAAAAACTGGACCTGCCATTCTTAATGAACGTCAACACAGAATCTAAGTTATTTTTTTGTAACTGGAGCTTCTGGACATCCTGTATACATTGACAAACAAGTGATGCATCCAGAAGGAGTGGTTGGAAGTGAATGAAATTGCTTATGCTGAAAGACCATGGGACTGTATTGAACTGATTACATTACCGGATGAAAGAGACAAGGCCATTGCCTGTTTCAGTTTCAGGTGGAAAGTGGGCGCCAGGTGAGTAGGGTGTCGCACCTCCTCTGGCTGCAATGCATGCACTTAGACGGTTCGGAATGGTGGCAAACAGCCTTTGGATCCTCAGAGGTGGAAGTGGCTTTTATCGAACACTGTTTAGTAGATGAAAGGCGTTGGAACTGTGGTAGAATTAGCCGCGTATGTCTGCATCGACAGTGTTCCGCATTTTACAGAATGACTTGAAGATGCGCAAGATAGCTTCAAGTCATTCTTTCAAGTGCTTTCAAGTGCAAAGTTGGTGCCACATGCTTTAACTGAGGTGCAAAAATGTACTCGATACGAGACATGCCGTATCAATCTGACGCGATTCCAACATGAAGGAAATGAGATATTGAATCGCAGTATTGCAATTAATGAAACGTGGGCACGAGCCTATGAACCAGAACTAACGAGGCAATCAAATGAAATGGCGGCGTCGTTGTTTACCACGAAACTAAAAGTTTCGACAAAGTCCGTCACCTGCGAAGGTCATGCTTATTTTGGCTTATGACAGCCAAGGTATCTCGAGTGTCATCCTGTTTGTGAGGGCTAAACTCTCTCTGCCACGTAGTACAGGTCATTCCTGCTGCACGCTCTGCGTCGAACACTGCGGAGGAAACGTCCAGGGCTTCTCTACAATGCAATACTCCTTCGTGATAATGCAGCAAGTCACACTGTAGCCTGTGACCCGAACCTTGTTCGGCGGTGGGAGTGGGAGATCTTGGAACACTCTGCATACTCCCCTGACCTCAGTCCGTGCGACTTTGATCTTATTCCATAAATAAAGACGCCTCTGCGTGGAAGCGATTTGCAAACAGAGAGGACATCGTAACAGCGCATCGACGAGAGGTGAGACGAGCACATCGACGACATAGAAGCAACACTCACAAACAACAACCAGGCGCGGACCCACAGAGAGGGAAATGAGGGAAATCCCCTTCCCCTAAAAAAAAATTTGTAACTATTAATTTTAACTTTTCACGAAATTTTCATGCAAAAATATTTGCCGATAATCATTACAACGAATAAAATCGTATCGCAGCTAGAGCTGAGCGATATTTTACAAAATGTGTAATGACACATTCGACCAAAACATTTTTAATTTCGCCTTCCAAAATGTGTCTCTGAATCCGCCCCTGCACACAGCCGATGGTATTCAACGCCCTCCTCATCGTTAGCAAAGATGTGTGGGCACCTTGGGGGATTATTTTGAAGGTTGTTAGCACGTACGAGTACTACGAGTACAATACACTACTGTTTTGTTTTGTGTGTATGTAATACGAATAAAACAATAATCTCTATTCACGCATTTTTCAATGTCCCTACCCATAACACCTTGTACCCAGATCCCAAATTTACTATCAGCATTGCGAAGAACATTCCAGCGACTTTCAATCGTATATCCTGATTTTTGTTTCCTGCAGCTTTATTGATTGATAAAAAAATTGCCCTGACTTCTAAAATTACCCTCGTATATTTAGAAGTTCCATGTTGTAGGTTATACGTACATTTTAACATAATCTTGTGGAACTACAATGCCGAAAATGAGGCTCCTTTGACAGATCCATAGACTTCCTTATAGCATTCAATCAGAGACCTGTTGAGTCTGGCCATTAACCCAGCATTAGAACTGAAATGGCTTGTATATCACACAGACTGGTATGAGTTATTTGATATACATGAAAATAATTATATTTTAAAATCTTGTATTTCAGTGCCTAGTGGTCCCCCACAAGATGTTCGTTGCACAGCATTCACCTCTCAAAGTCTTCAGATAAGCTGGGAAGCCCCTCCAGATGCTCAACTTCATGGAATTCTGAATGGCTACAAAGTAATTTGGGAAAACTTGGAAGACTATGATAGTAAGTTATGATGTCTGATATTATCATAAAAATAAGGACACATATTTCTATTTACATTTTTCATATCTACAATGCAAAAGTAATCATCATGAACTTGCAAGTGGTTCCAGCTTGTTCCTTTTGTGCATGCAGTAGACTTGGTGCATGCTGTAAACTTAGTTGAGTCCATTAAGGGTTCCTGCTTCCCCACTTAATTTTAGATTTCTCTACATTTCTTCTATCTTCTGATTTGAAGGGTAAAATTATTCTAGGGAATAATGTCCTTTGCACTCTTCTGATAAATGTTAATTGAAAATACAATAGTATTAAAATATTTTTGTTCTAAACTTTTTTATTAAATTTGAATAGGCAACCTGTAGTCAATATTTTGAATATTAGTCAAACAAATCAACATTTTTACGTGTCACATTGTACATTGTCCACATCCTCTAAAAATCTGTCATAAACAAAAAGAAAAGTAATATGTTTAGATAAGTAAAGCCATCAGCTTCATGTTTTAATGCTTTATAGTTTTTAAAAAATGCCATATCTGGAATGCAGAAAGTGTTACTAGATGGAGTGAGTGACAGTTCCTGTTAATACAAATCATTAAAGACAGGAAAATCTTCAAACGCCTTTTTCTCAAAACTGCTTTTCTCATGTTATGACAGTTTTTTAGACTATGTGCAATTTTGTGCCAGCATTCTATCTGGAAAAGCTTATCATATTCTCCAGAAAAGCATTAACAATATAAATCAATATTCATTTATAAAGATCCTGTTTTTTTCTTTCAGTGATTATGAAATTGTTAGATTTCATTTGGCACAAATTAGACATCTATCTGACATAATGATAAAAAACCTATTTACAACATGTCCAAATGTTCATGAACAAATTGTCAATCACTTTTTTAGAAATGAATCTTCAAAATATTTTGTTTTAGCGATAGCTACTCATCCATATTCTTTTATCATCTGATCAATATGTATTAATTGAATCGATATTTGTTAACATCATCAGTTATTATTTTATGAAAAATAATGTTTTCTGCATTCTGTATTCTTCATGGATTTAGCTAGAGTTTGGTGTTAAAATAAGTCATTGCCATAAGTATTGATTTTCAGAGAGTTCAAAATTGTAATTTTGTCACTAACTGATGCTACTTTAACTAAATATGAGTAGGGACTTAGGAGAGAGCGTAGGTTTCCGCGGCCGGAGTCAGTATTTACTAGGCTGTCCGGGTGACGCCGCGTCCATGGCGAAGGTGCTGACGTTTCGGTCGCCATTCTGCGACCTTCCTCAGGGCGTAATGCCAAGGTCGCAGAATGGCGACCGAAACGTCAGCACCTTCGCCATGGACGCGGCGTCACCCGGACAGCCTAGTAAATAGGGACTTAGGAGTCATAAAATGGAGCCTAGGAAGACATGTTAGATATTACTGTAGCGATAAATTAACAGGGCATGTTATTAAAAGTGCAAAACCTGGAAAATTTGACGTAAGGAAGGCACAGGATCTGATATTATTTAGTTCAAGAACTGGTGGAAGCCCTGATACAAGAAGATATTTGTCTCACAGAAGACAAAATACAAACTAAGAAGTGAGAAAGCCACCATTTCTGTCAGCAGTTTGAACCTCCTTGAATACTATTAAGAGAGATGATATTTACAAGGGAACAATTCCACAAGAGGCCTCATCAATCATTCATTTATTTTTGGTCAAACTCATGCTCTTGTATACCCAGGCATTCCACCTTATCTGTCAGGTAAGGTTCCAATCAAGGAGTCAAAAAAGTCAGAGATTGAGCAAATAAGACAATACATACCTGCAAAGCACTCCAGTGCCTGGAGTTTTCTAAAACATACTACAGCGGCCAGTTCCTACAGAATATGAATTTGGATTATGAATAAGAAAGTGAATTCATTTTAAGCAGAAAGGAATTTGTTGTTTTACCTAATGCTTGATGGCTAAATTTTTGATATGCTTAGCATTAATTTGACAAATTTGTTCCAAAAATGTTATGACAAGCTTATAGAAAGATTTGTTGTTTTTGTTGTTTTTTTTAGAAACTCGAATCATTAAAATAAACTTTAAAGTTAAAATACAAATGTTTTTTCCATTATTTGTCCAAAGTTATAAAGAGCATTTAAAATGTAATAAAAAGAAAATTCTAATGTAATAATGTTCTCTTTTACTGTCATGATCTTAAAAAAATATGTAGAAAAAATATCATAACTAGAAAAGCACCATTAACCTGCATAATTTTAATATTAAAGATTTTTTCTCAAAGAATTTGATTTCCTAGCTGATGACTTTTTAACAAATATCAGTTCAATTATTTTTTTATTAAGTCATCTACCTTCTTTAATTTAAATTTTGAAATTCATAAAAAAACTCCTCTAATATTTATGTGTATTTCAGGTATTTCAAAACCAGAGACAAAAATAACTACAGCATTGACTGTCGTTGTCCATGGTCTTGAAAAATTCACAAATTATAGCATCCAGGTACTTGCCTTCACCAGAGTAGGTGATGGAGTTAGTAGTCCCTCTCTTTTCTGTATGACAGAAGAAGATGGTCTGTATTACTTCATTACTAATGCAAATAAAATGTTAGTTAACACTGTCAGTAATTTATTTTACATATTTCATGTAGTGCCTGAAGCCCCTGCTGGGATAAAAGCAGTTGTCAGTTCATCAACATCAATTATTGTAAGTTGGTTACCGCCCAAACATTCTAATGGAATTATCACAACATATAACCTTCAGGTATGAATTTTTAATAAAATTGGATCATTTCTGAATTATATGACAAGGTTTTGAAAGAGCTGTTCATACATTGCATATTAAAAATTGTGTAGAACCTCATTACAAGACACATCTAGGGACAAAGATTTGTGTCTTTTATAGGTTTGTACACTGATAAAAAGGGAAATGCTAATATACACACTTCAAGCAAAGAAAAAACTGAATTCTCATTTACACGAATTAACATAACTGAATTCTCATAAACAGAAAATGATGATCAATAATCATGTTAGACTTTTATGGATACAATAGTTACACAGATGCTCAAAATGCCCACCATTGACATCAATACACTTCTGAGTACATTGAATTATTGTTTGAACAAAGTTTGTGAAAGAGTAATGATTGCAGCACATGCCATTTCAATTTCTTCCCAAAGTGGTGCCAGAGTTGCTGGTTTTTTACGGTATGCAACAATCTTAAGAGTGCCCCATAAGAAGAAGTCCAACAAAGTTAGATCTGGAGAATGAATTGAAAAAACTCAAATGGACCTCTTCATTCTATCCACTTTTCTGAAAGATTCGAAAACCATAGGTGACAATGCAGGGCTTATGATGTACGAGGTCTCCCATATCTGCCCTTTTGAACATTGCATACAGTATCATCATTTTCAAATTTATCACAAATGTGTTCTGTTTCTTCATGTTGTTGATTTTGTTGCGTTTCACTTCAAAATTTGCTTTCCATTGTTCAAACGATAATTTTAGCTATATGTAGTAGCAATGCTGATGAATGTAATGCGAGTCACACAATTATTCATAGAACATCATATTACACATTACCATCATTTTCTGGTCTATCTTTGAAATATTTTAAATAAATATCTCTTATTAAAGTGTGTATACATTTTTGTGGCATCATCTGAAGTAGATAAAGAGATAACTCAAGTTTGGAAGGGTATTTCCATAGATAGGAATTCTTTCTTATACAGCTTTTGTTAAGACTGCTTAAGAGTAAAACCAACAAGTGGTTCAAGTCACTGCAAGAGAAAATTTGTTGTTTCCACTTTTGACTCGTGCTCATAAGAAAAACTTCCTTGATAATCAATAACTTCTGCATGCAGAAATTTCTTAATGTACGCAGGAAGAAAATACCCATAATTTGTACATTGAAAATAGGACAGTCCATATTGTTTCTTATAAGCAAGATTCTCCTGTAAACAGGATTTCTTTTAATAGAGCTCTACACTATACATGGCATTTGAAAACCACTATAAAAAGTTATTTCAAAAAAGAAAGGGTGTTATTTTATATTCTAACAAAATAAATTGTAATTCCTCAATGTTAGCAGTATTTAAATATTTTTATTTCTTTTAGGTTCGCCTACTTGATAACTCAGGACAAGAGATAAAGACTTTTCCTAAAAATTTACCACCAGTCAGTAATCATTATGAAATTGAAAGTTTGAATAAGCGTGGACGATATGAGTTCAGTGTTGCTGCTCTCACAAGAGTTGGTGAGGGACCATTTACTCAACCCCTTGTGTTATCTCCGTCATCAGAAGGTACTGAATTATTTAAACAATTACATATTTATGTATATAAAATTAAATGTTTCAGTTAATTTAAATAGTTCATGATAGTTATGTATTGTCAAAAATGTTTTAAACAAAATGTATAAACTTTCTTAGTTCAAGCAGCCATCTACTCATTTGATAGTGTAATTGTAGTACCAAGAAAACAAAATACTCAGCTTCCTTGTAAACATGTGGGGAAGCCAGACCCAACTGTTAGTTGGAGGCAGATGAGTCAACAGTTAAAATTATCAGCAAGGTAATTTCATTTTATCATTAAATTGTATTGTATGCTTTGAGGGAAATGCTTAAGAGTAATGATTCATAGTACTTACACAAATCAACAATTTAAAATATTTGTTCTATAATGCTGAGTAAAGAAGAAGAGAACATTTCAGGAACCACATCTATATTATACTGAAGAAATGGAACATTCTTCCTTGTAAATTTCTATTCATTTGTGTTATCAAATTTTCTATCAAAAGTTAATAGGATATAAACAACGGTCATCCATAACTACCAACAATTCACACTTACAATTCATTATTTTTTGTCTGTTTCAGGTTAAAAGTGCAATCTGATGGTTCCCTGCAAATTGCAGACCTGCGTGAGGAAGATAATGGAAATTATACATGCCATGTGGAAAACACTTATGGATCAGATCGCATTAGTCACAAACTAATTGTACAAGGTGAAGCAATTTATTCATATTCATATATAATAAAGTTAAATTGGCCCTTATTACATGATAAATCAAATGATTACAATATTTCCGTATTTTAATTATTTCAATACAACTACTTATATAGGATGAACTTTTTGAATAAGTGTGGAAGCTTTGATTGGTTATTTTTGTACCAATGTAGTGTATGAGAAGTAGGTAGTACTGCATTATGAATGTAGGGACAAGTGATGTGTGTGATGATGCCAAATGTAGCGTTTTTTGTTAAGGCATGAACAGAAGTAGCTGGTTGTGTGACACTGTTCATTTCATTATCCCTTTGTATTCTTCGTAAATATACAGGTTTACTTGATATGTTAATGGTATGTTTATTTTTCAAGACTAGTTCCCTATCCAAATTTTTAAATTAACATTTATAATAATTTTGTGAACATAAAATAATTAGTTTTCCAATCCATAAATATGTTCTATATAAAATACCATATGAGATGTGAGAAACTTTACAATACACTATACTCCTCTTCCATTTGTATTCCTTTATCACCACCAAACCTAACTTACATTTCTCCAACAAATTTTCAGGCAACGGCGATGATACATGTAAAATAAACTTTTAACATACTACCAGTACCAAGGATAGAAATGATTCAATTATATTCCAAAAGTTTTTAATTTTGTATATGTTGTGAAATCCTTTAATGAAACTTCTTGTTAGTTTTATTAACTTTTCCTGCTAACTATATCCCGCATTAATTTTTTTGTGTCAGAAAGTTGGATCAATAATAATGTATTTGTTCTTCTCATTCTATTAATTGTTAAGTTTTAGCAATTTCTATAAATATGTGTAACATTTTTATCTTATAAATCTATAATATATTATCTATAATATCTTGTAAATGCTCATTAATTATATTGTTTGTCTTTGACACTCAAATCTAGGACATCCTTCAATTGGGATTAATATTATCATATTAAATTGTCAGTATAAATTCCCTTTTAGTACCTCCTTCTGCACCTCTTCTGCATGCTACGGGTTCAACAAGCACAAGTTTAAATGTACAATGGAAGTTGGGAGAAGATGGTGGAGCTCCTATAACAGGTTTTGTTCTTCATTATAAACGAGAGTTTGGTGAATGGGAAGAAGTAAAGGTTAACCGAAAACAAAGCAGTTACATAATCAACAATTTATGGTGTGGGACATCTTACCAGGTAAAACAAATGATTTACTTATATAAGAGTATTTATTTATTTGCATAATTAAACAGGCAATTGCCCAATTACAGAGAATACAATATAGTATATATTTAGAATTAATCTGCATATAAGGGTTGTTCTTTGTTGTGAATCTTTCATAATATTTTCAATAATCCAATACCATAATATTACAATATTATAATATCATAACAATTGAATATCATAATTTCAATTCATTTGCTGTGTTTTGTGGGTGTATGTTTGAGGTGATGAAAAGCTTTTAGTGGAGCTGAATTTGTCCAACTCAGGGGGCAGCGGGAAACATGGAGCTATGAAAATATGTGTGACAATTATATGTGCCAAGAATTTAGCTCACGAAGATGTGTTTCGTTGCCCAACCCATTTTTCAAAATAGTTGTTAATGAATCAGGCCAATGTCACTGCACTGATACATTTAAAGCAATGCTAAATCCAAAATAGTAATTCCCAACAATCAATGCCATAATTGCCAATTTATTCAAAAATAAATTATCATATTAACACTGAGATTTTAAAGAACTAATGTTTAATGTGTATTCTACACTCGCTACACTACAGTTCTGAAGAAGATCGCAATATATCAGGCAAAACATCAGCACCTCAGACTGCAATGCGGCGTCACTCGGACAGCAGATCACGATTCCTAAATCTTTAAATTCTGTTACGTGTTCCAAATTGTGTTCTTCAATTTTATAGGTGAAGTTGACAGCAAATTTCTGTTGAGTGTTAGACATTATACGTTAGAGACAGACCTCAAAAGATCATTTACATTACATATTGAATATGGTATATAAAAATTTTCTTGTAAATTTTCAGCTTACTTCTAAATGAATTTCATTTTATAATTTATGATCTCCAAATAGAAGAAACAAATTTGATGTAAGAGTGACCTTTGAGTTAGTTATAAATAACAGAAATGACAGTATTTATCATCTATCAATGAATTTAAAGCAGTACTATTTGTCTTCAAAGAATACAGTCTGTGTTCTTACAAATTCAAGAATTACTCTTTTTGTATGAAAACATGACAGTTTCATTGGAGGGCCATTATAGATATTTGTTAAATAATAAACATTTGTTTTTATATTTTATATTATCTTTGTAGTGTATATGATAAAACACAATATTATTTTTAAATAATTACATAATTCTGACATAAATAAATATTTAAATCAATTCACAAAGTGAAAGAATGTAACACAGGAAATCACTAGGCCTTTTGGGGGTGGCCATCGATGCCCCCCCCAGGATCCACCACATTATAAGACTACATAATAAGCCTAAAAATGTATGTTCAATTCCAAGGAGCTGTTTAAGACAATTTACTTAATTCAAAGTTCACTAAAGTTTGCCATTTTGTTTTCTTTACCTAGCAATTATTTTAATTGAAATTAGTTTTGCTGTTCTTAGTGATACATAATAGATTACAATTTTTTTAAACTTTGAAAAGCCAATTTCATGTGTGATCCAAATTATAGTGTGTATTATAAAGAGTCAGCAACTTATACACAGATATTTGAAATTCGTTATATGATAATGTAATTAAGAAACATTTATGACTTTTGTTTGTACTTTGCCCTTTCCTTTCTTTTTAATTTTTTCCCCTTTTCCAATCTTCTCATTCTGTCTCATTCATTTTCTAGGAATAATTGTGTATAACTCTTTATGTTGGTTATCTTGTTTCAGCTGTATGTTACAGCACATAATGCCATTGGTATGGGTCATCCAAGTGAATATATTATTGCTACTACTGATGGTGGAAAGCCAGGAACAGTCCCTGCTGATAAATTTCTTTATGTAAATTCAACTTCTGTCACAATGTACTTGGAAAATTGGGTTGATGGAGGCTGCCCTATTTCTTACTTTGAAGTTGAATACAAACGTCTCGACCAATCTCAGTGGACATCAGGTATGATTTATTTTCCATGAGTAGTTAGCAAATACTGTAATAAATAACTTCTAAAGCATATAGAGAAATCAAAGATAATCACTTGTTACCAATAAACATATAGTGGGAAAATTTATGTAATGAAGTTTCATGTGTGACATTTACCTCTGATAGTCTGGCAGCTTTCTATGTATTAGTGTTTGACTGGTCACATTCTGATGCAAAGAGATTTCATTTCTGCTAGGAAACTGGCACATGCAGTGTTGAATAACAATCAGGGGCAAATATCATTAGAGTAACATGGTTTAATAACAATTATAACACATGCTTTTTGGTAAAAAGTGAACAACTTTGTCTCCCTATACATGCTCTAGAAAATTCTCTCTTAGAAAATTACAGTATTTTTAAGTATACTATTGCCAACACAATTCATTAACTGCATGCTTTTGTTTCTTTCGTTGCACTCCAAGTACAGTAAATAGGAAGAAGAAATTTACAGACAATTTTTACCTCAATAATTTCTAGTAAAAGTATTTAATTTTAAAAACATTTAAAAATAAGTATACAATTTCCAAAATTTTACACAAAACAATAATATGAGATCTTTTTGTCAACAAATTTTAAATACTAATGAACTAAAAGACTTCCTTTTCAAACAATCATTTTTCTTTAAATATGACTTCGTTGGATAATGTGAGCATTTTGTTTAACAATAATAACTAAGCTGCGAATAGTCAAAAGAGGCTGGCAAACTAGGCATTTAAATATACAAATAAACTAATAATGTAGGTATTTAAATAGACACTAACAATTTATTGTACTTCACTAATAATACAATATGAGCAGGAACACCTACAGGAATGTCAATAATCAAAATAACACCTATGATTGAAGTATAATTAGGGCAATGAATAGATGAATATATCTTCAGGTTCTTCAACATACTCCAACTGCCTGATTTTTGAGGTCTGAAATTATATTCTTATTGTGGGTGAAACTCTCATACTTCTAAAAATATAAAAGTGAGATTAAATTTGCCTATGCTTCTCAGACATCTCAACTCACTATATAACACTTCTGATCATGTGACCACACTAAATGCTGGTTTTACACAGCTTCCAAAATGTGAAATATCCACTCTCTGATGGTAAAACAAAACATAGAAATATCGATACTTTTTCAACTTTTGAATAAAATTGAAAACAACTTAGATTTTTTTTTAGTAATTTAGTATTTTTTTGTAAATTTAATATGTATTAAGTGGCTACCAATGTCTTATATATATATATATATATATATATATATATATATATATATATATATATATATATATATATATATATATACAAGAATGTTATTTAATTTAGAGCAAGATAAAGGCATTTATACAAAATAGGTATTTATTATGTAAATAGGCACTTATTAGTCAAGTAGGCATTTACTAGCCAAATAGGCATTTATAGGAACTATGGAATTTGCTTATTTTACTCCAAATTTTTTGAAATGAGTATGTAACCAAAAATATTTAGTTTTCAGTTAAAATAATCATTTTAATTCATTTCAATAAAATAGTCAAGTAGACAAAAATTCATAGCTCAATAGTAACTTTTCTATTTTTTACTGTACAAGCAATAGCAGAAAAAAATAGTTTCTTTCAAAATAATTCATGTAGAGAGCCAAGGCAATTTTTTCACCAGAACTTTATTTATGTTATCACATTAGGATAAATGAGTTTTTTTAGAATAATTGGTTAATGTCTAATGGATTGATTCTCAACTTTTTTCTCTCATATTCCTAGATTATGTTTTGAAATTCTCTACTCTCATATCCCCTTTCTCTCACTCTTTCACACCATACAATGTTTGGAAAAAGCTTTTTCCTTAGGTTTGTACATTCATTATCAGAAGATTAAAGAGTCAGAGATAAACTAATTTTTAAATTTATTGAGAACTGGGAAATGATCACACAATTCAGAATAATAACAGTTATTGCACTTTAATTTTTCAACACTTTATAATTTACCTCAAATTGGAGTAAAAGCCTAACTTTAAGAACATAAGTTGTAAAAACAGAAAACAGTTTGTTCCAGATAAACTAATATTATTAATATACTTCATATCAATAATGTTTTTATTATCTTGATATTATTTTCCACAATGTTAATCAAATTCAATTAAACCAGGAATTAAGAAGTTTTAGTTGGTCAATGTGAACCTTGAGCTTGTTTCTAGTAACTTAGTTTTTAAAATTTAATTTCAAAAGAAGATAAGTATAATCTTAAGAATGGTCTGGCAATTTGCTTTTATTTTTCATTTATGTTATATACAAACAATGAAAAAGCTCTTTCAACAAGCTCTGTGTTTATGAAAGGCAATAAATATTTTAAAGCTTTATACTTTATACTTGTCTTTCACTGATGTCTGGTATCTAATCGTGTTGTTGAAACATCAAGTCATTGAAAGGATTTGAAGTCCAATTGTAGTAATTATTGTTTGTTATGAAGTCATGCCTGAGTGACTCCTCAAGTCCTTCTAAATGAGCTAATATAGTATGACTTACTCTCTTTGACAACCAAAGATCCTTCTTCGATATGAAACTGTGAAGGGTATCGAGAACTTCTCAATGATTATTTCTCTCTAAAATCTACTTTCTGGTTTATAGACATGATTTTATCAACAACTTTAAAAATGGTAATATAACAGTTTTATCAGCCCAAATTTATTTTATTAATTTCGTCATTTTGATTTTGTATTTCATTTTGCTGTTATCTGCCATTATTGCAATTATTTTGAACAGGCCTGCTGGTCAACTACATGCCATGTGGAATTCACAGATTCTAGGATGGGAAAGGCTAAAGTACTGGAGTTCATTTTGGCACTCATGACGTTTCATGCGCACTAGAATTGTTCACAGAAAATAATGAAATATCACATTGTGCTGGAATGAGTAATTTATGTCATTTCTTCAGACTTTTCAAAATATATTGAAGTTCTATAATATGTAGGCTCTAATTATATTCTCTGATGAAATAAATTGCTAAAATAAAATTATTGAGATTTTGAAACTCCGTTTTAAAAATGAAGAATGAAAAATGAAAATTGATAAAATTTTGCTATTTTAAAAGTGAACATTACATATATTAATGTTTTCTTTTGAATTGGATTCACTAAAAATCACCTCTGCTTTGTATATTAAGCATTTTAACATTTTGGGTTTATTTATTATGTAATAATATCACTTCGAGATTGATCATTAAATTGTTTAATTTTCACATAGCAAATATTATTCAAAATGTAAGATTATTCTTTGCTAATAAACATTTTAAAATCTTGGCAAAAGTACAATAACTCTCATAGAACTTGTAAAGGACAAACAATAGTTACTGTGTATTGTTATTAGGGAATGTATAGAATTGAATTTGAAATGAGAAGGCTGTACTTTAAATAGCCATTTTCCGAAAATAATCTTCATGTAGATTTTTGGAGAAAATGTTGCATTTTTCAGTGCTTATGGATGAGATGATAACAGACATACAAACACTAATCTAACTTCATCATACACAAAAAAGGTATGTGTAGTTGTTATCACTCATTCTTAATCTTGCTTATTAAACATATCCTTATGCATTTTTAAAGAAAATATCTCATGAAGTAGTTTCATTTTATACTTGATGACACTGTCCACATACTGCTGTGTGTACTTACATACTGCAAATGCAAGTTGTTATGCTCATATATTATATTTGTGCACATTCACTTATATGCATATAATTCTTCCCACTTACACACCCCTTCTGCACACTTTTCTATGTTTACTGTGTCCACTATGCCCACTTACACACAGTTCAAACTTTCACTTTACAAAAATGTATTAACTATATTACTGATTTCAAATATATGAATAAATTTACAGAAAAGAAAGGAGGCTCTGGCCACGTGAGAGGTGTAAAGAAGATTGGAAAAATATAAAAACATGAAACGGTTTTGATTTTGACTGAATAATTCAAATATTCGATTATGTTGATTCACAGTTTTTCATACCCAATGTTACGACTATATTTTCATACTCAGTACATCACTGCTTACGACACAGCCAACATCATACAATGAGCAACAAGGAAGATATAGTGTTTATGTGTGCTGTTCCAGAAAACCTACTTTTTTTTTGCCCTGCGACCTCCCTTCCAACACCCTCAACAGCAGCATATTTGCTGCTGCAGGTCAATAGTGATAACTTAAAACAAGGAGTTATGTTTGAAATAATGAAAATGACTCATTCAGCTTCTTTTTATATTCATTGTTCATAACATGAAGACTGTACAACACGACCCAAAGAGAATTGCTTCTGTCAAAAGAACTGTATACACCTACAATGAGGCAGAATGTCTTGCTTGATCTCTGATGGTGCTTCCAGCAATCTGGAATTACAGTTGAGGTTTGTCACAATGACGTAAGGGAAGAATTCCACTATTAAAATTGCATTGCATCATTCACCTTTAAACACTGGTGTAAAAAATGTGGTTGCTTATTGCATTGAAAGTTACTATCAAGATAGTAAATTTTGTTAAACTTTATGCTCTGAATTCTTGTATGTTCAAAAATTTGTAAGACAAAAACAATGGATACCATGATAATACATTATTTCTTCTTGAGGTCCACCATCAGTCAAAAGGAAATATATTGGCGCAATTGTTGTAACATAGGAGTTAACCATTTTTGTTAGTTGAAAAAAAAAAAAGAACTATTTTCATGCATTTATGTGAACCAAAATTTGAAATTGAACTTGTCTATTTTCTTAATATCGCTTAATAAGTCCATTTGAATCAACTTAATTTGCAACTTCACATTGCTGGGATTCAAAAACTGGGAGCTAGTAATGGCAAAAATATTTATCTTTAAAGATAACTGCTAGGATTTCGAAGCTAATTTGATCTCTAGCTTTGTAAATTTAATGAACATGTTCTCCTTTCCCTGCTCTTAAACTTCTTATTTATCTGTGAATATTATGAATAGAGCCCAGAAGTTTGGCAAAATGTCTTTTTATTATTATTACGATTTTATGGCTTTTAACAAAAGAAAATCTCTATATTGTACTTCAGGAGTTGCTTTAGTATATTTTCATTTTGTATTTGCTTGGCTATTTTAGCTTCTAGTGCCTATTTTCCTTCCTTCTGTTTATGTCATTGCTTGCCTTTTTTATCTTCTAGTGCCCAGTTTCCTTTTCCTTCCTTTTATGTCATTGCTTTCAATTTTTATTCTTCTGACACCATTATCGATCATGGTGAAAATATACGTACAAACCTGGACAACTCAAAGGCTCTGTCACATTTTGTCTTTTTCTGCAAGCAGAGGTTCCAAGGCCAAGAACTGTTAAAAATCTAAAAGAGAAAAGATGATACCAGTCAAGATTTTTGGATTCCTTTCACTGATATTAACAGGGTTTGTTCACTCACCAAGAATCCCATACTACTTTTGACTATGGCCTCTGATCTCTTTTGAGGACAGAGATCTCTGTACATGACATATGATGCAACCATTCTCAAAGCTGGCAATTACAAGCAATTACAAAGAACTGAAACTTTAATTGTGTTTTCACTGATGCCATTCCAAGACTCAAAACAGAGTCCAATGTTCTAAAGACAGCATTGCGAGTGAAACAAATTCTTAGCCATCATACTGGGTGGTCATGTGCAATCAAGAGTTCAAAGAAAATATTGTTTCCTCCCATATAAGTGCTGAAGTAAATTTTAGAGATAAAATAAAAATTTCAATACTTTTAATTATTAAGTTTTTTACAACAGTTCCTATTAAGTGTTAATTTTTTTTATTGTTTACATGTCTTTTTACACCTCTACTTTAGTCAGAATAAGTTCCTATTTGCATGCCTATTTTAGTAAAACTAAATACATTTTTGCCTGCATATGTTAGGTAACATAAATGCCTTACCTTTTGAGCTCTAATTAAGTAGTATTATTATTAAGTAATTAATAAGTATACACTGAAGAATTCAATGCTAAATTTCTATCTCATTTAAAAAAGCTAAAAGAAGAATTCCTTAAGAAGAAAATATTTTCCTGGTGCTCATCTTTGATAATGTTAGGAGATGAATACACAATCTATCTACTATCAGTATAAAAGATGTTCATAATGAAAAACAAGAGCAACTGAGTGAACAACCAAATAATTGTAATTTAAAAGATTTATTTGAGTCTGATATAACTTTTGATGAATTTTGGTGCAAAAAGACCACAAGTAACCCCTAACATTCTGCAAACCACATTAAGTTTCCTATTGGTTTTCTCAAGTAGTGTATCTATGTGAGCACTGCAATGTGGAGAGGAAAACATGGAAAATAAAGAAAGAAATTGATTTATTTGATGTAATAATATGCTGGTTGCTAGTACCAAAAATGTTTACCCAAGATTATGGCCAAGTAATTGACCCCAGCTGGTCAATGAAACATGGGCCAAAAAATCACATTAACATTGGAATGAATGAAATCAAACATGTAACATCTTTCACCAATTCTAATTCTAAACTCTTTTTAATAATTTATATTTAGTTTATGCAAAAAAAACTTTCTGAAGGACCTGGAATAAAGAAATGCAGATCATGGTAATCAAGAAGTGATAGTCAAGAAGAGGAAGTATGCATAATAGAAGATTACATAGAATATACGAGATGTAGAACAGAAACAAGAAGATTAACAAAGCAAATTAAAAGAGACAATTAGGAGAAATTTGAGAAATCTCTGGAGTGTCATTACAGGTCTCCAGAGGATGGATTATTTAGGCTAACCAGGATGAGCCTCATCTCTGATGAGGAGGCTGATGTTTTGGGCAACATATTGTGATCATCCTCAGTGTCAGCAGTACACTCTGTGGAAGGTCATAATACTTTGTCCGAAACAACTGCCACCATGACAGAGACGTGGCTCATTCTACATAGCCTAGATAATACAAATTTTGGCCACAGAAGTCTATGCAATCATATCCCATAGGATGAGTCAAAAATATAAGAATGCTCTGAGCTGACATGAGACATTTGTATAGATTTCATTCCTGAGGAGAAACGGATGGAGCATTATAAAATATATGGGATAAGGGGACAAGATAGGCTGAAGCATGGACAACACAATAATTAAAGAACAAAAACTAGTGCCACAGATATCAAAAGAAGAGCTTGAAAATACATAAATTCAACCATGAACAAGAAAAGTCCAGGAGTGGATGAAGTTGCCATGAAACTAATAAAATACAGTGGTAAAGAGCTGGAGGGCATCATGTTAAAACAATTCAACAAAGTTTGGGATGAAAATTCAACTTCAAAAGAATGGCAAACAGGAGTGATGATAATAAATTTGCACAAGAATAAATCAGAAACTAATTGCAACAACTATTGAGTGATAATGTTTCTACCAGCAGCATCAAAACTTTTTCCAATATATTACAATTCAAACTGATTGAATTCAATGAGACTTTCCTAGAAGAAGAATAAAATGGTTTCAGAAAAAGAAGGAGCCCAAAGGCACTACATTCACAGTAACAACAATTCTGGCCAGATGCAATGAAGTGAAATTACCAACTTACTCTTCATAGATTAGTTGATCCCACAAAAATATTTGGTTGCTCTGGGTCATGAACCTTGGCATTGCTGGTAGGTAGATACAACAGAACAAATGGACTACTCAGACATTTCAAAGGAATATGACATTTTTCAGAATGTGGCATTATCTTGTGTGTTTAGCATTTATAAGAAAATCATGTGGTTTCAAACTTGTGATCATCAGAGTGACTGATTCAATTTCACCAATACGTATACAAAAGCAGCCAGCAATTTACATTTGCTTGACTAAAAATAGACTATTATTTATGAATATTCCCACAATTTCATGTAAAATTCTGTGTTCTTTTATTAATAAATTGACACTCTGAAGCCTGTGGGGAACCGGGGGCTGTTCAACATCCAAGATCTAAGCCACTCAAATATTAAAACTGAATTATCTAAATGGGTGTGCCCCTGCCAAAATATAAACTTGAGACTTTGCCAAATGCAATCCAAAGATTCCGAGTATTTTGTTCTTGAAAAAATGTTCCTAATGACCAAACAACATATTTGTAAGTAAACATTAAGTATGTTTACTTTGTGAACTCAATTTTTTCCTTGCATTTCAGGGCAAAATAAATTTTGACCCAAAGTAGCCCCATTAGGTTAGGTAAATTTCTGCCAACTTTTAACCTAAATTTCTCTGTAAATATCAAAGATTCAGATGCTTTCAATAAATCTTTGTTCAGAAAAGGAGCTGACCTCTTTTTGGCAATACATATTTTGACCTTATAATAAAAGTGACTGGCCAGTGTAGATAAAAATCAAAATCCGTTACCAAGTAACCCTGAAATGCATTTACATTCTTTGCCAGAAGTTAATAATATAATGTACCCTGAAAACAAATTATAATTATAGTAATGTTTTGGCTTTTCAGCATCCAATAGCATTGAACTTCAGAAGAGTTTTGTGATAAGAGGATTGCAGCCTGACACTGATTACCAGTTGAGAGTTAAAGCTAGAAATAATGCAGGGATAACAAGTGCAGAGTATGCTTTCCATACCATTAGCAACTTGGGAGGTAAATGTGTTCTGAATATTGATGATTAATTATGTCTGTGAAATCTCTGTGAAGTCTCTAGTATCAGAGAACTTTCTGATTGGTTTTGCGGTCACAGAGTTTCAGGACTTTTTTAACTACATTTAACATAGTAATATTCATATTAAAACATTTTTAGTTTGTGTTATTTCGTACATTCCATCTTTCTTTCTTCAACACATTTTTAATGCTGTTTTTATTTTCCTCATGTCTAATGTATTTTTAATACATTTGCAGGTACTGCATCACCAACATCCAATAGAGTTGGTGGTACAGATGATGTCAGTCTTTATTTAGACTTCAAACTTATAATACTTTTGGCTTTATCAGCATCTATATTATTGTTAGCTGTGGTTGTTTATTATTGTTTTCAAAAACGTGAGTATAAAAACTTTCAACAAAAATGACTCTAATTATCATTCATTACTTCAAGTATATTTTACAAGTCCTTCTGTGTCCCAAATAAATGTATATTTTTTTTTTATTACTTTATCTCAAAAGGACCTTTTGCGGGTGAGGTGGCTAGTTTACACGAATCCCAAACTGCTGCTGCTCTTGATAACAAACAAAACATGGAACAACGAGAACAATATTATGCCACTGTTCGAAAGCCATTACGCTCTCCTGTTCATGAAATGGCTACATTGGAACGCATTCCAGGTCAGAGAATACTGTTGAAATCATTTAATTCTCAGGGTGACAGGTAAAGATGTTGTAATTGTAATTTAAAGAAGAAATTTGTCACCAGAACAATCATACAACAGAATTTGAAAGATTCCATATTGTTTTCAAAACAAATAATGAAGGTTCATAGTGACTCCATCTTACACAGAGTCAAAGAGATCTCAACCTTTGAGATAATGTGTATGTTGTAGAATACTCGGAGGACATCTACCCTTACGCCACATTCCAGTTGAACGAAGCAGCCGGAGTAGAGACGAGATGCACATCAGCAGCTCCTGCACCAGCTTCAACTCAGCTTCAGACGTTTATGTACCACGATCCTCACCTATCAACAGCAGAAACACTGCAGATTCGCGAGGTAAGAATAATGTGGAACATTTTATATACTTAAATTTAAGTATATTTTAGTATTAATTGAATTTCTAAAAGTTCAGTGTTTCAATGAAAAAATTGTTCTTAGTTTATAAATATTCTTATTTATTACATTTTGTCTACTCCAAGAGACATTTTAACATATTTAAGAAAAATATATGTAATTTTTTTTCTATTTTAATGTGATATGAAACATTTAATTTTTGGAAGGACACAAATTGCTTTTTAATTTTTTTTTTATGATTACATTTTTTAATCTGTAAATCTTCATGACCTTGTGACACTGAAAGAAATTTCTTTTTGACTTTAAAGAAAAAAATTCCTTTTTTTTTTTTTTGAAGTGTAGTAGTTACAGTACTGAGGCCAATTATTAAGTTTCAGGTGATGGAACAATACATTTGAGAAATTCATCATATGCGAGAAAAATAATATTTATTGTTTTGTACATTTTCATTATGAAATATTTGTTTAAAATTATTTGTCAGTGATAAACTACTTCACATGAAACTTGTTCCAGAACAAAAATACAAACTTTTAGGTGCAAACAGTTTCCTATTATCGTATACTTTTGGTGTATTAATAATGAGGAAGATAATAAATTAAGCTAGATACTCAACTGAAAAGAAAGTCAATGAATATGTGATAATTAATTCATGCATAATTTACAAAATTATTTTCATGGATAATTTATTTTACATGTCTTGTCATTCATTAAAATGTTCCGTGTAAGCAGGTTCAGTCAGAACTAACCAGATGAAACCCCAATTTCAAATTCTTTATTTGTCATTTTATACTTTGCTGGTGTTCATTGAATTTGATCAAAAACATTAATTCATTACAATAATTGATCATTAGATCAAATGGCCAAATTTGCACATATGTATTCTGCTAATTAAAATTTGTTTCTCGTTATCACAACTGTATTTTGCTGTTTGCACCTCAACTTTTGTGTTATTATTGAAATTTTGGATAAAGTTTTAAGGGTTTGTTATTAAGCTATAATTGATGTAAGAAATGTTTCATGCTTCTAATATTCACCCTTTTTTAATTAGTTGTGATTTTTAGCTGCACATGTAACTTTAATATCACCAAATAAAAATTCTAAGTAATTTTGCAAATTTTGTGAAGTGTAGCATGACAAAAGAAAAGTGTCAGATAATTTCTCTTTTATTCACTCAACTACAGAGGTATTCAGAGTTTTAAACAGAATAAGATAATATTTTTTCAGGGTTTTCTCCCATATTTCGAGCATTCACGCCTAAAGTCCTGATTTTGTTGCATTAAATGTAGAAAATCAGCCAAGTAAATGAGGTACAGTTGAATGAGAAAAAATTGAATTTACCAAAAAATTATTAATTATTATTCCTATCCCTATTCCGTTTAATTACTGATAATATTCATGTTTGCAGTTTCTTGTCTTTACTGGAGAATAATATCTATTTCTTCTTTCATTTTAAATTATCCTTTGTTAGAATATCAACTTCAAGATTACATTATATTTTCAATAATCTTATTTAAACAACTAGATAACCTGTAACTGACATACCTGGGTCCTAGGGATCCAAGCAAGCATTTTTTTATTATACCTGTTAACTTAAAGGTAAACTGAAAACTCATCTACACTTCCATGAAAATTTCTCCTTCTCAGCAAACTTCGTTGATATTGAGAGTGTGTATGTACTATTAACAGTTTCTGAATTATCATTGTAATTGGGTCCTCAAGGTTCAGGTGTTAATACTTGTATTTTCCCAGAATTGAATATTATTTTTGTGAATTTCTTGATTATGAAGAACAACAAACGAGGATCAAATTTTTAATCCCCTCCTGAAGGTGATATGGAAGACAATAGTGATATCTACAATGTCTCTGAATAATGTGATTATTTCAATGTCACAGATGAATTCCCAGATGATAAAAAATTGCGTGGATAATAAATATACATTTATTGACTAAGATAATTTAAAAAGATTAATTGTCTGTAATTGACTTACAAATATTGGATGAAAAATATAATTGATGTGAAATATACATGGAAAAAAGATAATCGTGAGTGATTCAATTTCCCCTAATAGTCTCCTGGATGAGCAAAGTAATCTAAAACCTCAAACTCTGTGAGTTTAATTTCATTTGAATCATCAGTGCTCTCCAACACTAATCAAGTGAATTTCAAAATAAAATATTACATATCATCAAAAACTTTCAACTTTTCTTCTCTGAAATGACCGAAAAATTACTTTATGCATTTAAAGTAAAAGTATGTTTATATTTGTGATAAAATTTCAAAATTTTGTTTTTTGTTGACAGTCACAAAAAAATAGGTAACAAATTTAAATACTTCTTTGAAATAAATTATTTTTCCGAGGACAGGAAATTGATATTTTCAATACATATAAACCACTAAAAATCAACTCAAAAATATTCCAGTAATTTTGAAAGAATTAGAAAAATAGTCCAGTTCTTCTTTATTTACTTTGTGAAAAAATATTTTTTTACTGCTGCCACATAGGTCACATAGGTCATAAAAATAATTGTTATGGGACTGTCAGTTATAGGTTAACGTTTCTAAGAATGCTTTTAAAATACATTCTTTTCTTTTTAATATTCAATATTATTATTAATTGCAACCTAGATACTTTGATATTCTAAGGAGTAAGAGGTGGTTATTATAGAATATTATAACAAAAATTATTCTCCATTGATTTCAAAATTCTTTTCCCAGCAGGTTATAGAGAGAGCTATGGTATCACAGAGGTTGACATAGTTTTGGCTGATTTTATAGCAACAGCAATGATCAGGATGTAGGATATTTTGAAGAAAAATATATTATAGCCCTATTTTGACATATATAATATTCCAAATATATTTTAGAATCTCATAAATGTTTAAAATGTTAAAAATTATGAGCAAATTGAACATCTTCACACAGATAATGCTATTATCTCTGTTATGCTTGCTTATGAATTGCAAGTGTACAATTATAAAACACTATTTTAAATTACCTCTACTTTTCTGCTTTAGGAAATTAGTATCAAATTAATTACAATTTTTTTATTCAGATATAGTTTTTGTCTTTTCTGATTAGTGAAAGCATGCTAATTTTTTACAACTGCATATTTTTAGGCAATCTGTCACTTTTCATTCCAAATCATTTCTGTTGTTCATTTAAATTAGTAACATGCTGCTTCTGCATAACTCTTGATATGATAATCATTGTTCATAGTCTCTGATCACATCATGATTGGTGTAATATTATATAGATAACTTGCTTGACTTTGTAGAAAAACATTATATCTGCAGTAAGAAATGAAGCTGATTACATTTGGGTCAGACATTGCTTAACAATATTATGTAGTGGTGGTGCTCACTATTTCAGTCTGATTCGGACCCCTATTCAAAAGTGCGTGCTCGGTCTCGACGAAAATCCAAGTCATTCAAGTCAGAGAGTGAAGAGTATGACACTTTGGGCTCTGACAGTGACACTGAACAAGGGACATCAAGTCGCACTGAATCATCGAATCATCTGGATGACCCAGGCCCTGGCCACTGTAAAGACAGGTCAGCATCACAACAGCTTAGCCGACATCGCTCTCGGGTCCAGAGTAAGTTTCTTACCTTCGCTTGCTTATGCATAGGTATACAATTAATCCAAATTTATATTTTAAAAACTGAGTCTTAACTGTGGTAAACGTATGAATGTTCTGTATTTGTTGTGAAATTGAAATCTTTCTCCATAAATTAATGATTACTATTCCACAATAACATTATTATTGAAGTAACAGGTATAAGTTTTTGAATGAAAATGTGTTGTCAGCTATTTCTCCTGAAGCAGCATGTTACATTAATATTGATGTTTGCAAACAGTGAATGAAAACAAGTATCTCGTTGTGTACATTACAATGCATTTCATTTTGTATTTAATTTTTATTGACTTGCTTAGTTCTTAGATGAGCATGTTACATTACTAATAGGTCTTTTGAAGTTCAATTGATGAAGTATCCACTTTTTTTTTTGTGCACATTTTAATCTGTTCAGGTCTGTTGTTACAAACAATACATACAGGGATATATGACTAATAATCATTGTTCCTGTATTCTGTTCTTTTTCTGAAGCATGAAACAGTTGGGATAAGTTCAAAAGTCAGATGTTGTGGAAAATAGCCAAACTGTTTTGATGAGCTCTTACCTACATAAATTCCAGCCCAAAATAAAGTATATTTGAGTGATATCACATGGAATTTGTTAGTCATACATAGGTATATTATAACTCTCCACTCACTCCATAGAGTGTGTGTGTATTTACTGGTGTTTTATTTAAAAATTAAATCTTTTATACTAAAAGGATGAGATAATCTTGTTGAGATTAAATAGTAATTTGATAATTTAAAATTGTTTCTCATTAATACTATTGGAGCCTAATTACATTGTTTAAATGTTCACTAATGTTTTTGAGAGACCATGGCACTTAACACTCCTTTATTCTCTCCTTATTTAACTGGCATATTCTAGAGAATTTGAATTGTGCTAGTTACTTGTTGAAAGAGATCTGTCAGCAATTGATGTAAGAAATTGAAATTATTTTACTGATCAGTTAGTTAACATCGAGATAAACAGTAAGATTAACAGTGAAATTGGATGTTAATATGAAAACTATTAAGAAAAATAAAAATTCTTCATTTCTGTAGAAAAATGCATATTGATGCAGAAGTAGAAGAAGGTGAAATATTATTTTCTTAAAAAGAACTCCTTGAAACTTATTGATAATGATAAATTGTTAAACTTGTGCCTTGCCAAGTGTCTTATCTTTGAAAAGTAGAGAGTGTTTTAGTTTTGTTTACAACTGTATGTAATATTTGGGCGTCATTAGTGCTAAGACTGTGTCTGGAGAGAGTGCTAAACAATGGTCTTGACTGAATATGTATCAAAGTTTGGTTAATGGCAGCAACAAATATCAAGCTGATTGGAAAATGAAATAATTTTGTTAAATTATGTTATATTATTTGAAATGTCATGGCACATTTTAATAGATATGGATTAGGTGAATACATCTTTCCCAACATGCAAGTAAATATTATTGAGCAAATGAGAGGTTCTCCATTTTTGTTAAGCCATAGATCTGTAGAACTTCTGTTTTAAAAAAAACACTATAATTCAGAACGGTCTAAGTTACACAGACATTTCTCTAAAATGACATCAGTTTCAATTTTTATATTTATGGCAATAATAAATTATGTTTAATCACAAATAAAATTAGCTATCTATAAATACAAAGGCATGAGGTCAAATGAAAGTATATATTTCAATTAATAATCTGTCATTGAATCAATGAAACTTAAATTTTATTAAATCTAACATCATTAGTTCAACGTAATTATCATGGGTATCCAGAATCTGAGCAATCACACATTTTCAAGTATTCTCCCTTGAGTACTAAAATACTTGTAATGAAGATTGCATAATACCACATAGACCTAATGATGAATTACAGAATCACGGCTCATTAAACATAAGGGTTTGAGGTAATTGAAGTGTTTGAAGAACATTGATTTACAAACACTTTGAACGTTATTTTAAATAGTTCTCTTTCATTACATACTTTTAGAATTGTAGAGTTTGTAGATTAAATTTTCTAAGATAATTTTCATAGCATGCTAGGGAATTCAAAAAATTGTATTCATAAATTGTTTTCAGAAGCCACTATGTTTTATTTCCACAATCACAATTTTTAGGTTGCAAAGATGAAAAGACCATTGTATTTACTAGTTCTCCAATATGCTGCTAAAAGGGTGATTTGCAAAGCTTTTTAGGTTTTCTCAGTGGCCTATGCCTCATGCTTGGTCCCTCAAAAAATAGTAATTCTTTTAGATTTTTTACTATCATAGTTTTATTTTCTTATTTACTGATATCTCCATTGAATTGAATTCACTGGATCAAAATATTTCCATCAGTAATTAAGCACCTAATTTTTATTAGTATCTTTGTATCTGTACATGTATTTATCCATTAAAGGTACCATAAAGGGCAATTGGCCTCAGCGCCATTAGATCCTGGGATTCCTAGTCGATCACCCAACCAGAAACCTGTGATGTCTCAAATTTGTTTAACTTTTGTGACTTACGAATTCAGCTAGCTACACCGGTTTCATAGTCATGGCCTTCCAGTAGAATCAGTCCAGCATTCTCTTGGATGACAGAAGGAAACCATGAAAATCTTGGACAGGATGGCTAGCAGGGGGGATTGATACAAAGTCAGTGCGCTATGCCCTTAGACACTACGGTCGGTTCCATTAGTATGTTTAAATATGTAATTTGTTTAAATATTTTAATTAAAATGTTTAAATTATAAGGTATGTTTTAAAATTTAAATTGTAAGAAACGCGTCTCTGGTAAAGAAGAAATGCAATGAGGGACAAACTGCACCAATGAGGACTGGTGTAAGCAAATGAGTTTGGTGTCCTGAGATGTTAAACAGAATAAAGAACTTCACATTCCTCAAGGAGTAAAGTGAAAACTAAATCAAACACTTTCTCCATTTCAATCTGGTATCCCTTTTTGATAGCCATTTTAACTATAATTTTCTCATCCTTTAAATAAATCATTTCCCTTTAAAATGTGGCCTCTCCTGATAAATGTAACACCAATGTGAAATGAATATCTTACAGGTTCCAGGTCACAATGTTCAAAGGAAAATGACCTAGACAAAAGTGTCACAAAGTATGATTATCCAAAACTCTGGATGGCCAATGTAGATTGTCAAAAAAGTTATTAAAAATAATTGTATTACTAAATGAAAATATTTCTGGCCAGACGAGAGAGTACAAAATGAGAGGTCCAAAATAATAAAAATCCAAATGGTAGAAATTTATTTTAATTTTTATTTATAATTTATAGCTCATTAACAAGTTAGTAATTAATTATCTTCATTCTTGACATGTGATGTGATTAACAGGGTTATCATCCATCCTGGGTATTCTCTGAATGGTTCAAAATATTGAAATGGAATTTTCACCAAATGATTCAAGACACAGCGACTATTTAGTTGTAGTAATTGATATGGCATTATTTATTTTATTTTAAAGACGGACTTATAGAGATGTCCAGAAAACATGACTTTCAGGGCTGCTGAGAGCAGCACTATTGCCTGTGGGTGGCAAATGTCAGTAGTTGCAAGCGGTGGGATAATGCTTAAAATATCTTTGGTTTTCCTCCTCCTTTATGGACTTAAAAAGTTTTTGTTTTGTGTGTACATACTTTCTCGAAGTGAGGTGTTTGTTTATCTCTAAAATGAAGTAGTTTCACAATAACCAAATTGTGTGTGGTAGTGCAACGGTTGCAAGAGGGGCAGGAGAGACAAAGTACGCTTTTTCAGGTTTCTGGCTTCCTTTACAAAAGATTGGAAAGTAAAATTATAGCACTCTTAGAACAAAGATGACAAAAGTGGATTTTTGCTTTGAAGCAAGAAAAGTTAGATGATTATTTGAAGTCTACAGTTGCCATTAATTGAACGTCGGCTACTAACATCTTTGTAAATTGCAGTCCAAACATTTAAACATTTTTCATCTGCAAATGAATACAGATCTTCTACATTTTTGCAATAATATCAACAACCTACTAAAAGGAAGCTTTTGAGTTAGCTCTCGCTATAAATAACCTGTCATTTTCATGCTTTGCCTGAACATGTTGGCCAAACTCAGCTTCATTGTATAAGTGGCATTGAATTTGTGGACCTTCAAGACATTCTTTGGGTAAACATTATGCCCTAATATTACACAGCTCTCCAAATCAAATGCTTACTTTTGGCAATAGAGTTATCACATCATATGTGCTAATTGTGCTGCACAAATGTCCTCAGATATTCAATAAAACTTATGAAGGAAAAATTGCCTGAAAAGTAAAAATTTGATACAAAAATGTTAACATTATCGTTTTTTAATCCGAAGCAATTCTGGCAACAATTTTTGACTGAAAATAGTGTGATTTTTGTAATAAAATTAATTATTTTATTTAAAAAATCTTGAACCCTTCCAATCTCAAACTTTAAACAGACACATCTCATTTTCAAGTAAAATTGCAGTTCTTGATTTCATTGGAATATGGATAAGGGAAGGTCATTAGAGATAATATAACTCAAGATTTTAAATACGTTAATAGGACATAAACATTTGAATACCACACAGGAAACTTCGAAAATCATTTTTTAATTTGAAAACATTTGCAATGTTTATTAATTGATTGATTATTTCGCGATTCCGAGTGCGTCAACTGCTATGGTCATTAGTCCCGTAAGTGTAGTGCATGGTTCTTCATCCATGGGGCAGTGATCTTCCATAGATGGATGTTGAGATCCGGTGCCGACCTACACATCAGCTAGTGAGGTTTTCTCAACCAGGTATTACCCACCAGGTACCACCTACACCCTAGCCGGGACAAGCTCTAAGCTCGCGACTGGTCTTCCGGCCTGTAGGGTAGTGTAGTGCATGTAAGTGTGTGTAAGTAAGGGGCGAGGATAGGACAATTAAGGAGAAGGAAAGATCGGGCGCGGTCCGTGACCCGTTTGTTAGGGTAATTGCTTTCATCGGCACTCATCTGGTGTTGATCGGAGGA